ATGCCTCCATTCATATCAAATGTTTTAATTTTTCTCACTTAAACATATACCAATTTAAAGAGACAGTAAAAAAAAAGATGTTTTAATGGGTACCAGTCAAATGCCACAAAGCATTGTCTCAAATCTTTATTATTTTTATATTATTTATTACAATCGATTGTTGTCTAGTCCATTTGTGTGCATATTTTTGAAGAGAGAAATTTAAGTATATTATGTCCCCATGAAAATAAACAGAGCCCTCTGCATTCCCCCTTCATAAAGGAAGGGGGTGATTGCTGGAAGGAGGAGGAATTAGGGGAGATGGGAAGGGAGGGAGGTCACATAAATATCTCACAACAGTACTGCATACAAAAAAATGAATTTACACAAACCTGAACTTAGAGGGGAACTTGTCTTAAGCTCATCTGTATGTACATCAGAGGTATTCGCTGCAGCAGTGGGAGGTGCTGCAGCACTGGGTGGTGCTGCAGCACTGGGTGGTGCTGCAGCACTGGGCGGTGTTGATGAGGTCGATTCAGATCTCTTGCAAAGCTCATTGGCAAATGTTGTGGCTCCAGTCTTTACAGTGTTAATAGCATCTGAGACTTGTGATGTCTTTTGTTGAATAATCTCCTTTGTTAAAAATGATTTTACGATACAAGGAATAAGCAAACAAATATATATTTTAATAGGTCTTAATGTGGTTTGGGCATTGTTTTGCTTTTGAATGTTGATAATATAAATAAACTGAATATTAACTTTCAACTTTTTAATTTCACAGAATGGCTTTAAATTCAACACAGATTGAAAATAAGAGATTGTTTTTAAAGTCACACTGAAATGCAATGATGGAAATTTGATTTATTTTACTAAAAAGTTACAAACAATGGCATTTTGGTAGGTACATTTATTTAAAAAAAACATATTTTCAAACCCAAATAAAAGTTTAATTATTTAAAAAAAATTACTTTATATCCAAGCAAAGATGACATTTTGCTATGAAATACCTGAAAATTACCACTGTTAACTGCAGTTCCCAGACGACTTTCTGCTTTTAACCCAATATCTTTAGCAATGTCCTTTATGCTGGAATTTTTCCACAGGCGATTCACCTCACCACCTTGTTGATCAACAAGTGCCCGCACTACATGCTCTAATCCCCGTATAAACCCTGACAGATCATTACCTCGAGACATGATTCTGAAATTCAATACAATAATGAAAGAGACAAATAGCAGATATTTCTAATTTATATGTCATCAACAGGAAAATCCATACAGTTTTACATACATAAGTCTTTATTCTACTTTTTACAAAAAAAACTTTTTCAAAACTAAGATATTTATCTACAACTGATATTTTCGATATTAAATAGCTCTTCTGTAAAGAAAGGTTTTTGTTATTGTGTATTTGATAAATTTCCCTGTAGATGTTAAAATCATCTTCATGTTATCAAAATCCATTCAGTTCAGTCTCTTGCGCACAAATCATATGCATAATTTACTGTAAATAACCACTGTTTCAATGATATTTCCAAGGCAGTGATTAGTATGATGGTCTGATACATTTAACAGTCACTAATAATATTCTTATTTTAATTTTTTTTTATTCCACTTGACATAAGAGGCGTATGTTAATCATTTTGACTTCTCTGAGTTATAATTTCTATAAGTATCTCAAATTCTAAAATTAAGATTTGGTACACAGGTTTGTCTCAAAGGTATATTTAATCTACAAATATGTTTAATGGATCCTTTATTTACAAGCTCTGAAATAAATGGGATAAAAATATTGCATGTTCTATTATGAACCAACTATCAAATTTTAATAATTTCACAGATTAATATTTTAAATTAGCCCTGTGATTTTATTTTTAGCAATGGAAAAAGTTAGTCTAACATTAACAACAGTAATCGTTGTTACCCGGTACCAAAAATTGGAGGCAAGGGGTTTATCTCACATTCAGGTCCATGGAAGCATTGATGAAAATATTGATGGGCCTAATATTTATTTCTATATAGTTGTAGTAAGCTAGTTAAGTATGTACCGGTACTTAAATTATAATGCAATTTAAAATATAAATAATTTTAAAATTATAGTATAATATTAATAGTATAGCAGCATAGCCTAACATTTATAATAAATTAAATAATAAGTTGGAAGTCTTGAGGAAGTCTCAGGTCCAAATAAGTAAGGCCACAATTTCAAATTTAACTCGACTTAGACAATGCATGAGCAAGGTCAGGTGGTCTAAATACTATAAATACATTATTTAAGTGAATGAAAATGTGATAATCAATAATGTTGAACTTTGGCAGTTTGATATTTTGTCTGTCAAAACTGTCTTACTAAGTTAACTGAGTACTACTTTACTATTTACTCAAGACTCAAGTGACTCAGCCAGGCAATATTCTCTCTAATTTGTAGATTAACTTATTAATAGCTCACTGAACTGACAGAATGAAGCAGTTTTCATCTACTGCTAAGTTAAAAGTGTGACAATTATTATTATTAAAATACAATAACATTATATTATATTTAATTATTCATTCATTCATATTTCATATTAATAATTAATATTACGATTTCATAAATATAGCCTAAAAAATAGGCTACAAATTTAGTTCTACTCGCTACTGACTGTTAATAAATTTGTAAGTCTTGCCTTTCGAAGTTCCTATGATAAAATATCTACCACAGTCACAGGAAGACAAAGATAATATGTTGTTTAGTATGAATTAATCATAAGTCCAGTGTTGCTGGCTGGCACATGTTTACATCGGATACAATTTATCAGAGCATGCCCTTGGATAATAAGATTAAATAAGCCAAGAAAAATTACTAAGAAATTAAAGTTAAGACCATCATTTGATAGTAACGTCCCTTAATGCAAAAAAAAAAAAGAAAAGAAAAGTCACCGCAAGGGATAGGGCCTACAACTTATTAAAGGGGGTGTGGGTGGTTACAGATAAATTGACGGTTTAAATTTTAATTAATCTGGCTCCATCTGTAAAGGTATCGTCCCGGTACAGCTTTGTGAATTTTGTGGTAATCCGATTTTTAACGCGATCTAAAATTCTTCGTCTTGTAAAAATAAAAGCTGACAGATTCTAGTTTAGGAAATAAGTAAAAACGAGTAAGGTCAAACCTAATTGTGGGATTGTTTACTATTATTTTGCTGCCCTCTCGGATACTAGTCAGCTAAACTAAGTTTACTAAGCGCTGTTTTTTTAAAAATTATTCTGTTTTTTTTTCCTGAGATTTGTTAGCTGACGAAGGCTTCCTGCCGATACGTTCTTTGTTTTGTTGCGTTCCTCTTTTCAGGTTTGACCTTACTTTGTTTTACTCATTTCCAATTTTTCTAACCTGACTGCGAAATTAACTAGTGGAAAGTTCGACTGCTCTGGCATTACAGGAAACAATTTATTTGAAGATAAACTCCTGATTCCTGTACAGTTTAAAAGTAGACTTATCCGAATTAAGCGTTGCAGTACATGCTTCTTAAATTAAGAAACGTAAACGTATTTCAGGGGTGTATCAATCACGTGACTTTTGGAGAGGGGAAAAAAAACCTTCTTCTCCATCCTGCCAATTTTCGGTTTAAAGCCCTATGTATTCAAATGTGATAGGTTAATTATTATTTTTCCATATCACAACCGTTTGAACCCCTTTAAATATCCGAGGCCCACTGCAAGGTCTATGTCAGTAATTAGCTCGGCGTTAAGTGTCCAAAATAATAGTTGTGGAACAAAAAGACTTGTATATTTCTCAGTCGTGATATTAAAGGGGTATGCAATGTTTTTGTTTTTTATGCCGCACTTTTCATTGGTTGGGCCTCAGCCACACAGCCTACATAGGGAGCCATAGCAAGTGTCATGCAAAGAGGATTCCGTAATGGGGTTTACCCCAGGCGATAGTCTCGGCAGGGGAGGGGGGCAGAAATTAAAATTATCCTAAATTATCGTAAAAACTCCGCCATGGCCGGTCCCAAGCCCGGTTGCAAAAGGAGGAGGGTTGGCTTGAGGTCACATAGTTTCTCTTTACTTGAGATTTTCGGATTCCAAAGCAGATATATTAAAACCATAAAACAAAAGTATCAAGGAGAGTGGCATCCTTAAAAAAAGGATTATTATTTCTTATTCTAAGCTGTAGTGCTCTTAAAATCGATATAGTCTAGCTTTTTTTCATTTTTTTATTTTTTATTTTTTTTTCTAAAGTTTTTACTTTAAGATCTCAATAATTTTTTCTCAATGCTCACTGAATCAGTTTATTGATAAAATTGAATTTTCATTTTTTCAAATGGTCTCATTTAGCGCAGTTATCCGGAAATGTATCATTAAATTACTGGAATCATATTTCCTCCACCAACCTCTTTCACGAAAAAAAAAAAAAAATTTGGGCTGCTCTCGGCGGCACTAACCCCATCTGCTACGCAACTCATTGTCGCATGGTATGTGGCATTCACATGGAAAAACACGGTCATTTTGCAGGGAAAAGGTCAGATTTTGGAGCCCCCTGAAGATGAATGTAGCGCAACGGTTCCCCGCCCCTTCACCCCTCCCCTTTCGCACGCCCATGATTCCGCATGCAGAATGTTACCAAAAATATTATTAATTTAAACTAGAAATCAAATATTTTGTTAGTGTATTTTTCTGATCTTTTGGGTGCGCACATAACAGCTCCCCTCTCCCCCCCCCACACACACACCACGCGCGCCCCTCATGATGCATGCAACTTGTGACTACCGGCGCCCAAGAGCATTGTGTTTTTTAAAACGTAAAAATTTAGTAAATGATGTATATGTATTAATTATTTTCTATAAACCATTGATTAAAATTATATTTGCCTTGTAATTTTAACTTAAATTAAATAATGATTACCTCTTACCACCTTCATATTTTAATTTTTTTAAAGGACTTTAAAATGTTTTTATGCAATTCTTATGATAGGAATCCTATCCAGTATTTACATAAATTATTTTGTCTGGGCACAAAAATAGTAAAAAAAATAAAAAAATATGGCGTAAGGAGACATCGATCACTTACCACGGCTGCCGACATTTCAGTTGAATATTAAAGTCAACATCACGTCAGTATCATGTATTTAACAAACTTTTCCATCAAGCCTTTATAAAAATAAAGGTATTATTTATATATAACCATTTATATGGTACTTTATATGGAATTGTTAAGCACAGTTAGGACTAGTATAGACTGTAGTGCCTGTAGATTCGCTTTTCAGGATAAATGCCATAATGATTATAATGCCATTCATAATAATGATAAATCTGATAAAATGCATGATTCAGCCCAGCTACAGGCAGACGAGATTGACTGAAACACTCAACATAAATGTGACTGTTTTTACTAGTTTCAGATGTTAACATTATTATAATATTAATAATCTGTAGTCTGTAGTAGTGTTACTCTTGGACTCTTAGATCTAGGCCTAGGTCTGCTAGTTTGAGTTTCAATTCCAGACTCTCACTCTGGGTGATTATTTTAGTCTTAGTTTACTTTACACACACAAGACAAATGATGATGGCAGAAAAAGCCAGGGCCAGGGTGGATACTGTGCATCATCAGTGGACATCAGACATACTAATTATTAAATTAATTAGCATGAATAGTCTGAATAGGCCTAATATTTATTTAGGCTTACCATTATTTATTATCTCATAGTAGGCATAACAATAGTTGTCCACGCACCGTTCTGCACATGTCCTAAAATGTCGAAAAAACGTGTTCTGCAATATGGCGTACAGCTACACGGTATCATTGGAAAATTGCATACTACATCACCTTTGTTTAATAAATAATTGCTTTCCTCATCACTGACGTATCAGCTTTTGTGTTCCGGTCATATATTGATTTATGCTACAATATTTTTTGTGCATCACAGGCATTATTATTATACTGACTCGGTTAGTATATAAATCGCATAAATACTTTTTTACTAGTAAAGCCACCAAAATAAGGTTTAGTGCTCCCTAATCTACATTCATTGTAAGAGTTTTTTCATTTTTTGAGTTATTATCGTTGAGCTCTCGATAAAAAGTTATGCATCCCGCGAAGATGTGGGAGTGGGGGGGTATGAAATTATCATTATTTTTTTATTTAATCGAGAAGCCGGAAATGGCTGCTATCACTGTGATTCGTTAATGTTAAATCCTTAAACATCTAAATAATTATAAGACGTTTAAAATGAATCATTTTAAGAAAAGATTATAACCAAACTTGAAAAGTTTATGTAGTAACCAAGGGTTGGTTTTAAGTTTTATTTATTACGTTAAAAATTGTGTACGGTACAGGTACACAGTTTATCGTTTTTTCATTATTGAATCAATATTTAATAGTTTTACAATAGTAATAGCGATAATAATAATCTTTTTCTCTTATTAATTATTTCAGAGGATATTACTAAAATTAGGCCTACTTATCATTATCAGTTATAATTATAATCATAAAAAACTTTTATCATAATCCTATAATAGTCTATTTAGGCCTAAGCTTAATTTTTCTTAATCTGATTCTATTACAATTACAAGCCTATAAAGTTCTATATGTAACAGTTTTATTAAAATACATCAAATTAATAACCAAGACTCAAACAACATGGTCATAGCAATTATTTTTTTATTAGGACATAGAAAAGCAGTAAATAGACAATTATTTAATATATCAAATAACATTTTTTAATGAATTAGTCTCATTATTATCATATTATTATTATCATCATGGATGATTTTAGTTGAGTAATTTTTATTTATAATTACATGAGTTCAATTTTATAAATAAAAAAGACTACTTACCTTTTTATAAATATAATAATTGATTTAAAATTTAACACAAGCATAATAAAATTAGTTAAAATTCAATAGATGTGTGGGTATTTTTTCATTTTTTCCTGTACAAATAATGATTTTCCCAATTTTTCTGTTCACTTTTTTCTGAACATACCCACACATAAATTCATTAAAAATAAAAGTCTTAATGTTATATAAAAGTTTTGTTGTTTATTGTACTGTATATTGCATTGAGAATGTCTCCTGAAAATTTGGTAGCCATTATCTTTTAAAATCAAAAAGTTTTGGGTAAAATAAGGCAGAAATTTTGAAAGTGGGTCACAGGTTTTTTCAGTTAAATACTAAGATAAAGAAGATAAATCACCAAAAAAATCATAACTCCACTTCTATAAAAGATAGAAAGATGAAATTGGTGTTGTTGTAAAGCTTATAGCCAGCCCTTTAAAATGATGTACCATTCATGGCAATTGGACAATATTTAAATTTTGTGTCAAAGTACCTACTCATAGGTTTACCATATTTTCAGTAAATTTTCAGTGTTGAAACTAAAGTAAATAGCCAGAGAGTGTGCAGGGGCTCAGTGATTTGATTGAGCCCCCTCCTCAAAACCCTACCTCAGTTGCTGATCAAGGAGGGTGTAGTTATCCTCCTTTACCTTCCCCCACTCAATCTACCCTTCCCTCCACTTCACTCTCCCAAGACCTTCCCTAGCACCTATCCTCCAACTTTCTCTTCCCTGGCACCTATCCTGCAACTTTCTCATCCCCTCCTAAGCTAGGCACTGCAACTTAAATTTTAAAATACTGACATGCACAAAGAGAATATCACTGGAAAGAGCTGGCTTTAAGCTTTCCAATGATACCAAAATAATCTTTCTATCATTTATAGGAGAAAAGTTATGCATTTTTTAGCGATTTATTTTCCCCCTCAATTTGGCTTTGTATTTAATTTTTAAAACTGTGATTGAATTATTACTCTTTTTGACTATTTTGTTTGTATCTTTTTGGCTTTTAAAATTAGAGCTCTCAAATTTTGAGGAGACATTTACAATACAATGTTTAAAAAAACAAAACACATGAATTGTGAATTAGTAATTATATTTTATAAAATATGATTTTTATGAGCATATGGTGTGGCAACAACAATCGTCGAAAAATTTAAGTTTACAAAAAAATTACATAAATACTAAACCATTAAAGCTTATGGCTATAAAATGTTCAATACAAATTGATAATGTACAACTAAAAATTAGCCAAATTTTAAGAAAGTAAAATGCAGATCAGAAAAATGTATGCAATATTAGAAAAAAATCTATATTTCATGAAAAGTGACCACGGCTGAGACATTTTTAAAATTTAAATATATAACTTTTAAACTAATAAAGCTACTGCAATGAAATTTTCAGCACAAATAGATAGTACCGTAACTATATAAATTTAATATACAAAATTTAAAATGTCATGTAATCTGTCGACATTGATGTGCATTTTTAACCACAACTTTTAAACTAATAATGCTAACTCAATGAAATTTGCAGTACAAATAAACAGTGTGTCAATCTAAATTTTATTAAGTATTTAAATACAAAAAAACATAATTCAGAACATTTTATGTAAAAGTTATTAAATGAAAATCCATCTCTGTCGACATTATTGTACAGGTACAACAAGTTTCGGCTCCGGGGCTTGAGCAACACTTCATCCTGATCGATTGGTAGCCCAAAAAACATCTGCCTCCGTTGTCAATTTTAAATTGGGTTGTATATTGATCTCCTCCAGGTTGGCACAACTTAGCACAATCACAAGGAATGATGATAATCTGTAACTCTGAAAAATAAAAAAAAGATTAGGACTACTAATTATGAATACATATAAATAATGATTCAATGTTTTTAAATAGGCTAAACAATTTTCTTTAGTTTATGTAAATTTATAGTTGTTAATAACTTAGGACTAGAGCAGTGTTTCGTAACCTTTTTTGTGTTTTCATTCCCTGCCTCTCCTATCCCCCCCAATGTTTCATATACATAATTATTAATATTCAAAAATAGGGTTGTTCACTGAAGAAACTTAAATGATTTTTACAACACTTTTAATGAACGCTTTTTTAAAATTGAGACTTTAAATAATTCTCCTTTTAAAATACAAGTTAAATCATAGGAGACAGTTTGTTTTCAAAATCCAGACAGCTCATTTTTCGAATTGCCCCCCCTAAACAATCAAATTGCCATGCTGGGAAACGGGACGAGAGGCTATCTTACTATATAATTCATTGCTCTTCGCATGATGCATGTCGCCGCACTTTGAATTCTTATCATTTATACTTTGATCCAAAGCCTGTTCTTAAATATGAACTATATTAGGTCTAAAGTGTAATTATTATATTAAACCAGTTATTAAACGTGTATATCTATAATCAAACTAATAAGTTATAATACAGGAAATATTTATTTAGCTGTTTCAAAAAGGTTTTAAATAATAATTACCACTGATTACGTTAGAGATACCACTTCCAGTAGATCGAGGGGACAAAAATGGCCACGGCTTGGCATCTTTGAATTTTTAGTCACGTCGCTCAAGCTCTAATAAAGTTCAGTGATGATCAGTATTATTTTAAAAAAGTGTTTCCCCTTTTAAAATATATAAAATATGCGTACAAGTAATGACCAAGTCCAAACACTATTTTAAAAAAATGTTGGACAGCGTACTCACTTACCCCAAGTCAACTTTCCCATTAATTGTCTTGGCAAGGTCAAATTTCTATTTGATTCATACCCTCGTTACCTGCATGCATCGCATATTTGAATTAAAATAAGGAGAATCCTCTATTTTTAAAAATGATGCAAAACAACGTTAAACACAAAAATCTACCAAAAACGAAAAGCGCCAGCTGATCACAGCGATAGCCGCTCGGCGGGCCGATTTTTTCTATCCCCGGAAGCGAAAGTATTGGAGTGCCTACATACGCATACCTTTTCCATCAGCCACTACTTCACTTCCTGTAATCTTAAAACTATGGTCTCCCCTAGACCTATTGCTCTTTCTCCTACCTCCTTGACTCCAATCTCTCCTGCTTCAACCACAACACTCTCCTCTAAATCTCAATTACCTCACTCCCTAACCATTTCCTCCTGATTCATTTCACCCCCTTACCACCCTTGCCACCCTGTTGTTGGCATTTTTGGGGCATCGGCAGAAGTGGAGCAAGGTCAGAGCTCCAAAATAATCACTCAAGCACTAAAAAGTTGCTTGATCTGAAACCCTGCTTATCAACTTAGAGATGGGAATCGAACCGCACACCTCAAACTCTGCTGACAATCAAACTGTGCCCTGCTGACGACTGAACCGATCCCATTACTGAGTATGAACCAACCTGAACGTTCTATTGCAAACTTATTAGAACCGACACTGTTTTACGAATGTAGCACATCACTACTTACGCCAGAAATACTTATATATAGAAAATCCAATTTGCAAAATTGTCTCAGAAGAAGGCTCCAAGCCCGAACTGATGTCCAGGATTGCGCAGACTACAACAGCACTAAAAAAGCTCAAGAAAATATGGAATGACAAAAATATAGCCCCCAGCACCAAAATCAGGCTGATGCGCTCATTAGTCCTCTCCATTTTCCTGTATGCCTGCGAATCCTGGACATTAACAGCCGACCTTGAAAGGAAAATAAAGGCGATGGAGATGAGATGCTTCAGAAGCATTTTTGGCATCTGCTATAGGGACCATATCTTTAATGATACAGTGAAAGAAAGGGTTCGCCACGCAATTGGGGAGTAGAATGACCTACTGGTGACTGTGAAAAAACGCAAACTACAATGGTACGGCCACGTAACACGGAAACAAGGGCTTGCTAACGAAATATTGCAAGGCACCACAAGAGGAGGGAGAAGAAGAGGAAGACAAAGAAAAAGATGGGAGGATAACATCAAAGAGTGTACAGGACTAACACTGGGCGATGCTGTGCTTAGTGCAGAAGACAGAGACGAATGGAGGAGGATAGTTCACATGTCATCTGTGGTGCCCCAACGGTCCAAGGACTAAGGGACATGATGATGATGATGAATTTGCAAAACCATATTTTGTAAACCAAATTATGTTTTTTAAATCATCCCCTACCCAACTCTTCCCCACCAACACCCTTTAGCGAATAGGTTTGAGTTTCTATTAATGTGTGACAAATTAAACAGTCACACTATGTGGCCAAATTTTTTTCATCCAGTGCCCAGAAACTCATTTTAAAGAAGAAAAAATTTAGATACCTGTAAGCCTGTATATTTTTTATTTAATTTAAACCAAAACAATGAAATTTCAAATTACTGGACTGCAGTAGTTGACAAACACAACCTTTTTTTGTTACCGAACCCTCCTGACGACAGTGCCCGAATTGAACAGAAACCTGTTGACGACTGAACCCAAACCAAACCCTGCTGACGACAGAACCCAAATCAAACTTCTTCTAAAAGAGGGTTTGATTCCTATCTCTATTATCAACTGCGTTTCACTGATTAACTGATTAACTACCATGAGCCACTGGGAGTGGCACTAGCTCAGCGTTTCTTTCGTTATAGCCACAAGCCGCTAGTAGCGCCAATGTTTGTATCATAGTAAATCAAGTCAAATATTTATATTATTCCGTTCCTTGGTTCAAGATTTTAAAGCGCTGTTCATTTATTTTGATTTAATTTCCAAGCTAGTTACAAAATTGTACAACTTGTTTACCATGGCAACAAGTGACAAAGGCATATAATTAATTGAAAGTGTAAATATTATCAAGTTTCTGTGTTCTTTGGTGCATTTTTCTTATTATTGGATATACTATTTGGAAACCACCAAATGAAAGGCTATGTTTTGGAAACTTAAAATTTATATTTAAGTTGGCACATTTATTATTATTTTTTTGTTTCTATTGTAATTACTAATTTAATAAATACTAATTTCCCTACCAAAACTTTAACTTACAAAGGTTTTACGTTTAACTTATAGACAATTCATATACCTTAAAAATGGTTTATTACTCATTAGAATATGTTTATAATTAAGAAAACTGCAGGTGAATTTGTGCATACACCTGCAATGAGAAAATGTGACCTAAATTTAATTCGGCCACAGACTGTTTTTCAATCTGGTAGTTAATCAAGTAATGGAAAAAATACTGGCGTTTTGTTCAGGAAGTTAAATGATAATCAAATTTCTGATTTTCAGTTTTAAAAATGATATTGGTTGTTGGTTTTTAAGAAATCACAATGAAATTAATTTTTTTTCTAACCAAAATTATAAAACATGGTTAATTACATAGAAAGAATTAAAAAGTGAAAATTTAGTTGCTTATTAAAATTGAAAATTATGAGTTTCCGATGTCAATTTAAAATATATATATTTTGCATTTGGTGTGTCCTGCTTCGTTTTCACAACTGGCGTTTCCCCTACTCAACATGTTTTATTTTAATAGTACTGAGTGAAAAAAAAATGCTGTTACACAGCGATTTTCATGCGTGACGGTTAAACTCAGGTAAAAGGGTTGAATTTTTTCCGAGGCGACAATTATTTTAAACCAAGAGCCCCTGGTATGGTGTAGAATGTCTGTATGACAACTGTGAAAATACCGGCAGGGGTAGGCTGTGGGACTGTGTAGGCAGATTGTTAAATTACAGGTAGGTAGGGGGTAGGACTTTCTGTAGGCCTATTATTTATAGGTCAACAGGTAGGGGGTAGGACTTTCTGTAGGCCTATTGTTTATAGGTCAACAGGTAGGATGTAGGACTTGTTTAAAGGCAGACAGGTAGGTTGTAGGACAGTCTGTAGGCATATAGAAAATGAGAAGTTAACAATTTTTTTTTTGACCCACCAGTTATTTTCTCAAAATATCAGGACTCTGTGTAAAACAACCTGCAACCCCCCACCCCCACTTACCTCTATTATATAATACTGCTAATAAATATTATTAACAAAGTGGGCGGCTCCCCCTCTCTCTTTCCCAGCCCTATAATTATGCCAAAGGCAATAACTACTCTCATAAGTCCCGGTTTCAGCACTTCAAAATAAGGATATCCTTATTGACCTTCAACATGCATTGTTGCTTCAGAGGCCACTCACACACCCATTATCGCATATTGATTTAAGTTCAAGATCTTTTGGTGTGTTTTTGTTGAGCTTTGCATTACATACATGTATGTATGTAGTTTGTTGTTTTTTTTTATTTAAAAAAAAATATGAATTCATATTTTAAATAGATTATTTAAAATTTTGTAATGTAATTTACTAATTTTGCTATAATTTTAGCTTGCTGAAATAGGTACTTATATTTATTTAAAATATGTTTCCAAATTTGATTTCAATTTAAAAACAATTTTGAGGACTGATCATGCTATGAAGTTAAAATCTTATATCTATTCAGGAATTAGTAGAAGGCTGCAAAATATCAACAAGCATAAGGAGTTATAATACAATTTAAACAGAAATGTATAATTTCAATTGGCAGATTTTTTTATTCTCTCCTCCTCCTCTCTCTCTCTCTCTCNTGCTACCCCCCCCCCCCCAAAATCCTTTACATTTTTTATGGGCTTAACACTATTTAAAAAGGAGCATATTTTTTTATTAGGCTTATTGAATAACCTTTAGTCTTAGTATGTCGTGACTAAAGATAAAATTCAGTCGTCAGTTCAATATGAACTGATATTTGCTTTATTTAAAAGACATTGTATAGAATATAGAAGAAATGTTAACAATTTTATTTTAAAACTAATACTAATATTATGCAATTATGTCTTATCATATTAAAAAAAAATCTTTGAGGTGCTTAACAAATTTTATTTTAAAACTAAATATTATGCAATTATGTCTTATCATACTAAAAATATTCTTTGAGGTGCTTAACGATTTTTTGCAACGGAACATGCAAAACTGCTTGAAAGATCGAAGTGCAATTAATGGCATCATGAACAATGAACGCTCCCCTAAAAAATTCAACATGGCCGCCCCCTGTGTCTGGACGTTGTTAGGGCAACATTTTACCGAATTATGCTATTTATTTAATAGGATTGCGACTCAGTGAGTACTTGTAATGATACTTTTAAGTATTTACAGTTTATAAAGCCATTTAATTAAAAAAAATATTTGTTTTTATAGTTTTCATTTATTTATTAATGTGGATATAATATGTTTCAGACCGTAATTTGTGACTGAGGTGTTACTGTTACTGTTAGATAACTTAACTAAAATTTAAAATGACTGAAACTTACAAAGGATACAAGATTTACTAATCCATCATATTCATTCACTCACACTCATACTATTACTACTTCGAAGTTAAACTTAGTTAAACCTATCACGAATTATATTAAAAATGTAACTAATGCTGAGGACTGAGGAACACAACCTGGTTTATAACCAGGCCAGGTGATTCCTTACACTACAATGAATGACAACATTACAATTTTAAATATAATTATTATACAATACTTCATATTCTATTGATATAGTCTAGTAACTTAAGTACCATACTTTGACAGAAATGCTAAATATTGTACTATTAAATTAAATGATACATGATACACCATTTTTTAAAGGGCTAGCTGTAAGCTTTCTAAAAACAAATTTCATCATCCTAGCTTTTATAGAAGTGGAGTTATGAGTTATGATTTTTTTTTGGGGGGGGGGCAATTTTTAAAACCCCCTTATTTATCTTTGTATTTCACTGTGAAAACTTGTGACCAACTTTCCAAATTTCTGCCTTATTCTATAACGCCGCCAAATTTTCGGAAAAATTCTCAATGCAGTTTAAAACACAGCGAACAACAAAACTTTTATGTAGCATAAAAAACTTTTTATTTTTTGATAATTGCTTTTGAGGGTACCGGTAGTTAAAAAAATATTTAAAAGGAAAATTAGAAAAATTATTACTTATACTTATAAAAGCAAAATAAATAAAAACAACATGTTTATTGTATTCCAATTATGTCAATTCTTATATTTATAAAAGGTAAGTAGAAATCTTCCTTTTATTTATAAAATTGAGTGCATAAGATTATAAATAAAAACCACTAAAATCACACTTAAGACTAATACAAGCATACAAGAATATGATTACATTTTAAAAGGTAATGGGGTTGTTCTGCCTCACATTTTCTATTTAGACTGCTCTACAGACTTCTTGTTGAAGAATCCAAAATCTCTCCTTCATAAACTTCCTTCGTCCAAATATACCTCCTTGCCTTTGTTAAGTGTTTTTCTAAGTCCTTATCTCTTATATATATTTTGCTTGTGGTGTGGCTGCTTCCTGTTCCCCACCTGCCCTCCTCCTACTCAGCATGTTTTATATTACATATAATAATGTTTGAAAGAAATTATGGTTCGATAGTGAGTAAAATATAATTCCCAATAACTGTGCTTAATGATATTTTTTTTAATGATGTAATTGCATTTGGTGCTTAATATTTTTTTCTTTTCGAAAACTGAAATCGTCTGTTTTAATATGGTGTAATAAATATTCGGTTTAAAAGTGGTTGGGACATTAGAATATTAATATAGCTCATGGGAGTGAAATAAAAAGTGTTCAGTGACGTACCATGGGAAGGGGTGTAGCAAAAATTTGGACTTTAAAATGTGCGTTACTTGAGTTCATGTTTTATCAAGTAACTTTAGTAGAAGGGAAGCTCACACATTGCTGTAGCCAATTCTAGGCGAGCTATAACTGGTAAAAAAATAATTACTATGACATTATTGAGTCTTATTGAGTTATTTGATGTCTTTTATTTATAATTACAAACCTTATTTTATTTTTTTAAAATAATTAATTAAATTAGGCGTGTAAATGCAGTTGTAAAAATAGAATAGCATTAGTTTATTAGTAATATTAGGCTTAAGCCTATTAAATATACACTATTAAATAGAGTAGATATAGACCTACCAGTACTATAAAAAATTTTAATATATAGGCCTAGAAATAGAAGTGGAGATTTATTGAGATATTTAAAGATTACAGAATACTAAAACTGCTATTGATTGTTATTGAGAGCCAATGTTATATTCCATTTCCGGTGAAGATAAAAAAAAATGGAAATTTTGTTTTTTCAGTCCGATGAGGGTTGAGTTGTTGACATGTTAAGGGCTAACATCCCAAGGAAAGGGGTAAATTGACTATTTCAAACTTATTCCCATTCCAGTTTAGATAGTTAACAGCATTTTTTATGTTCCAATAATTTTAAAGCTAAGTCATTTATAGCTAACGATGGTCAAAGTGCCAGCAAAGTGAACCTTGTTGAGTAAATTGTATGAGCTTCATCGTAATTGATGAGACAAAAGTAATTTATTTTTAGAAAACTGTGACATAGAAAGCAAAAATCCGAGTACAAAATAGAGCAGATTGTAAAAAAATGGCCCCAAAAGTCTTTTTCTTTCATTTTTTGACATGAGCAGAATATGTATGCGAATGAGTTTCAACATACCAACAATAGTAATAAACTGCATTCTACAGTCTAGTAGTACTACTTTTACAGTGTCCGCAGCCTCACATTTGGTGATGTCTCAGGCTAATGTTTATTTATTAGTATATGCCTACTGACTGCCGAGTATATTATCTGATAGTTGGCCTATGCCTACAGTATATGGGGTCATTCATGAATGTCATGATATATTGGAGGGAATGTCAAGAATTGGGGATGGTGTATTATAAGGATGTCTAAATTTTGTGACAAATTTTTTATAATGGGGGAAAAAAATTGACCAAAATAGCATGACACAAAAATTAATTTATAATTTTTAAAAAATTTATTTTTGTTTTTTGCACCCTTTTACTTCGGTTAAAATGGAAATTATCCATTTAATATGTGACTTTAAAAAATGTTTTTACTTTGTTTAATGCAATGGCCTCACCAAATATAACAAATCACATTTTTACATGTTGCATTTCCAAAATACATTTTGAAAAGAAAATACTTTTACTGTGTATACATGTTCTCAAGCCAACTTTTTGGGGAAATATTTCAGGGGAAAAGTGGGTTTGTCTTAAGAGCGGGTCATAGATTTTTATAATTTTCTCAAGGTACATCATATAATTTAAGTGTAGAAAGCTGAGGTCCTAGTCTACCCTAGGCTCAAATATGTTATCAGAAGCTATAAATAAAAACAGAACTAATATACCTGATTTAGATGGCAACACTATTCACTCAAAGAAAATGATAAAAAGGTAAATAATAAAAGTCGATTGCAACATATACAAAGCTGGCCTTAATATCTCATCCTAGATATTCTTTGGTACCATATTGCATTGGTACAATATACACTAGCATATTTTATGGGGTCTGCTTATAACCCAGTAATAAATTTTTCAGACTTTTTTCATCCATAATGGGGTGGGGCCGGGTGTCGACTAATGAAGAACAGGCTTTAGAGCAAGTATCCACAGTATTTAGTCACAATCTTGAAATTTAAGCATTTTCAATACTGCTAATATTTGTAAATATTATTTGAAATTATATTTTAATTGACAGTTAAAATGTGAAATTTTTCGTCCTTTCCTATAGTTTATAAAATGTTCAATTTAGTAGCTTTCTGTAATAGCTCCGGTAATTTATTGAATACATTTTGATATGGGCTCTAAATAAAAACCAACAGGCAACATGGCAGAAAATTAAACTCAACTGACAAAAAAAACAACAACACTTTGTCAATTACATTCTGGGCCAAATAATACAAAAGTACAATGACATCTGGTTATGGCTGTCAACGGGTATCTTGATACTGCCATTTCTGATTTAAATTCTGTTCAATTTTTTAATGTTATTGAAAGTATTCATTATTTACATCAACAATTATTACTGATGTGATTGAATCATGGACATAATTATGTTTTAACTTATACATTTGACTATCTACTTTTATTACTTTGACAACTTATTTGGTATATTAGAACTAAAGTATCTTGGCAGGTTGGTTTATTTACTGGTACCAGGGTACCCATAAGAAGTAGTGACGGGCACCCAAGAAGAATAAAAAAATATTTTGACAGTGTACATCTGGGTGATGACTTCCATTAAGGCTAATTAATGTAATAAATAAAACCTTCTTGTTGTCCAGTACTGCAATGAAAGATGGGAGTTTTTGTTTGTTTGTTATAATTTGTTTGTATGGATTGTATGACTCGCAAAATTTCTTTGAGCACCCACCTCATGGGCATCCATGTGCTAAATTTCCTTTTACAAAGCTTTCCCTACTTCACATTACAAAAATCATTTATGGATTTATTTTGTTGAACCTTTCAACAATCAGAGTAGTACAATTACCACACTTATTGTTAGATAATATGAATTCAACTTGGTATACTCAAAGCATGCACATATGAATAAAGAGATTGTTCTATACAATATAAATATACATTTTTAAAGGTCGCAGTCGGGTGAAGGATGGGTTGATCTGGATCTCTGAAAGAGTTAAAGAGTCAGGCAAAATCCACCATTTCCATAGCCATGACTACAGCAGCAGCTGAAGACCTTTTGCAGGTCAATCAAGTTGTTAAAGAGAGATTTAAAGTTGTAAGTAGCTATTGTAATTTAGCAATAATATTTTAATACATTTATTTTTATGCACATATTTTTTATATCCAGTTAATTTAATATTCTTTGAAAATATTCTTACTTGTCAACAATACGATTTACAAAAGTAATTTTATTACCGTTACTAGTACAAGGTAAAATAATTTAACAGAATTCCATACAAAACACAATGCAAAAAAAAACAACACATTTTTTAAAGAAAGGATATACTTAAAAGATAATGAATGTTGTACATTTCCTTCTCATAAACTTCTGTTGTACATGTTTTTATTTATACGCAATAGATTAAGAAAATTGGGGGCGGTGGATTTGGTGAGATATACGAGGCAACAGATCTGGTTAGTCGAGAAAGTGTTGCCCTCAAACTAGAATCTGCCAAACAAGTCAAGCAAGTGCTTAAAATGGAGGTCGCTGTATTAAAAAAATTACAAGGTTAAAGATAATATAAAATAGTTTTCATCATTTTAATTGTTATAAGCTATTTATATTTTATTAATTTAAGTTGTCTAGTTTTAAAAAGATTCACTTTTAAATTTACTATTAACCTAGCCCAATTTGGCCAAAGGCATTCACCTTTTTTATTTGATTCATAGTCAGTTTATTTGTCATTGTAAAATTTAAAGAATAAATGCATGTTTTAAAGAAATCATCGTAAAGGTATGTTTTTGCCATTAATTTATTTAACTAATGATGTTAATATTTTTTTTCAGGACGAGATCATGTGTGCCGTTTTATTGGTTGTGGTCGTAATGAGAGGTACAACTATGTAGTGATGTCGCTGCAGGGAAAAAACTTGGCTGAACTCCGACGAAGTCAGGCCCGTGGTTGTTTTTCTCTCAGCACAACCCTTAGGCTTGCTTCCCAAATACTCTATGCAATAGGGGCCATCCATGATGTTGGATTCTTACACAGAGATATTAAGCCTGTAAGTTCATGCAATTTTTTTGTTTAAAATATTTGCTGTTAAAACTGCTTTTCTTAAAAAAAAAAAAAAGAAAAGATGTGTTTTTAAAAATATACTTGAAAGTGTTACTTTGAATTTTAAAATATTTCAGTCAAATTTTGCAATGGGTAGGCATCCAAACCATCGAAAAGTGTACATGCTAGATTTTGGTCTTGCACGACAGTACACTACAGCATCCGGGGAGGTCAGGCAGCCTCGATCCGCAGCTGGATTCAGAGGCACTGTGCGTTATGCCTCAATAAATGCACACAAAAATAAGGTCAGTTTGCGAACCAGAGGTATATGTGATTTTTTTTTCTTCTTGGAACTTAAAACCCCATTTCAGATTTTTTGGTGGTCCCTAACAATTCATATTCGTCCAGCTCATATTGTAATTTACCCCTTCCCACATCTTTTTTTCCACGTAAGGGTGAAACAAGGTTATAAGACTGTAAACTCAATAACTTTGTCTGACAGATAATATTTATTTAATTTGAGTTAAATTCAATTCAGGAATCATTATTTGAGCTAATAAATGATGAATTATCATTAAATATATCTAAAAGGTTATCAAATCATCACCTGAGTCAATTTCTGACAAAATTGTTATTCTTTGGTGTTAAAAAAACTAAAAAATTTGAGGAAGTCAGACTTTACAGAAGCAATTTTTATTTAAAAGTTGTAGTTTAACATTAGGAGGTAAATGCGTGTGAATCGAAGGGGGAGAGTAATTATTAATTTTTCTTGTTGCTATGTTATATAGATGACCTTCGGTGTTGTGTGTATATAAAGTTTGCAGAAAGAACATTTTCACCCGCCTTTAAAAAAAATGTTTGCCTGTTATTTTTCCTTGTGAAATGTTTTGGAAAATACTTGAAAGTACTCAATGTATTACTTTGTACATGTTGCAAAATTTATTATTTTTTCCAGGAAATGGGCAGACATGATGACTTGTGGTCCCTTTTCTATATGGTGGTAGAGTTTGTATCTGGCCAGCTGCCATGGCGAAAGATCAAAGATAAAGAACAGGTGCATAGATTTCATCATTTTTTTTCCTTCTCTTAACCCTAACCCGTATTTAAAACATGTAAAACACACCTAATTATAAATGTAAAACTTTGTATAAGACGCGTATTATATACGCAAAAATACAGTGAGTCTAGAATGATGCAAAAGTGCATCCCTGCTTTTTGAATTTATAAAACAAATTCTGGGCATGGAGCTGAGCCTCTTCGCTAAACCCCACCCCCAAGTTTTGTTCGGGTGACTTTGGCGGGCATCACCAATTTCTGCTCCCTTATCACATCAACGTCTGTCAAAGTATCGAAGGATATGGCACATTTTTATTTGCAATAATGCACTGTATATAAATATATAAACGTCAGTCATCTACTTTGAGATGCGAATAGTTATTGTGTACATTATACTGTATGTTTATTTATTTACTCTTATAATACGGTCTTGTAAGATTTTGAGATGGTGAAGTACTATTCTAAGACTATATTGTAATACATTGGGAGTTCCTGAGTAACCAGGTCTGTTATTATAACCTACCTAATACTTGCACCATCTGCTTGGACAGAAATTATGATTTGATTTCTTCTTATTTGACAGGACAAGATAATTCTTTTTTTTTCTACTATCAATAATGGGTACCCGGTAGTTCTTTTATTACCCCCCCAAAAAAACCCAACCTGTTATTAGTCATTATTATTGCCACACAAAACTTTTGTTGCATCGGTCTTCAAAGGTTTTTTTTATTTGTTTGTCACGTTTGTAGGGAGCAAGGAGTTACTAGATTTAACTTTCTAATAATCTAGATCATTCGCTTAAAGTCAGCCAGACCAGAGAATTAGAGAGGAAGTAAACTAACTCGAATTTTTTTTATTTGTTGATGACCAGTAACAAAATATTTAGGCTGATTTCCTCAATGACTCTCTAACTAGCTTCTTGGATGTTTAAGATCATACTTTTAACTAATTTTTAGTAAAAAATATTAGTGTTATTTTAGCATTGTATTAACCAAGTGTTAACAATAATTGCTATGCAAAACTTAGAGTTGGGTACATAAAAATAGAACGAAAAAAAAATTATTGCATTTTAAAAGTTAGATTGGTAGTCAAATGGTTTAAATGTATAGATCTACACTTAATTAAATATGTCAAATTTTCAAACAAATTTTGGGGAGTGATCCACATTAAAGTGAAATTTTTTTTTGAGCCATAGCTGAGCACCTGATTAATTATTTATATATCAATAGTAGTTAGAAATATGATGTTAATTGTACGGATCAAATGTAAAAATTTCATTTTTATCAAAATTACATGGTAATATTTTTATAAAAGGACTTTTATAAAGGACTAGTTAGATTAAATAGCTAGGTCTTTGGTAATAATTGTTTGTTAAATATGTCAGATTTTTTTTACCATCAGGTTGGTATAATGAAAGACAATTATGACCACACCAACTTGCTTAAGAATTTGCCGAGTGAGTTTCGACCATTTCTAGAGCACATTCAAAGTTTAGACTATTTTGATCAACCTGACTACAACATGTTAACTAACCTTCTGGACCAGTGCATGAGACGTAAAATTGTACGGGATTCAGATCCATACGACTGGGAGAAGAGTAATGTGGACACATCTATTACAATTACCAATACATCAGCATTACATGCTCTCAAACAGACCAAGTAAGAAAACAAATTAGCTGCATTTCTTCTTCTTCTATATCTTAAGGGCCCACCATCAATTTATTGATCATTTTGGCATTTAAATTCTTTTATGTTGAAACTCAATATATTGACACACCTATAACATTTATTTTCTTTAAAAAAAACAATGAAATTTTATTTGTAGTTGTGGAAAAAAAATTATTGAAACATCTAGTCTTATTTACAGTTATGTTAATGATAATGTTCCTTTATTTCCTCTTTGAAAAAAAAGTGTATTTTTATTCTTCAAACTATGAAGTTTGTAGCTAGTTATGAACTTTGCAGCTAGTTGATAAGAGTCATTTGACACAGGACAAATTTTATAACAGCAGGGAGAGTAAAAAGTGTATTTCGCATAAATTTAGTCTTTCCTACACGTGTGGGATAAACTGGCTGATTTCCTTGTGAGCATTTTGAGAAATCATACTCGAGTAGGACTGACCAAATACTTCGTGTTTCTATAAAATTTAATAAAAATACTAATGCATTAAGTTACTTTGGCATTAAAATGGTACAATATACAGAAGGAAAAAAAAAATTATAAAGTATATTTAAATATTATTTTTTTTAGTTTCATTACATCGTATGAATTTTGTCTTCAGTGTCCTTAACATGGGCCCCATTACTCCTGGACATGGAGCTACAGAAGTTTTGGATGAAAACCTGAGCTACCAAGAGGGTGAGGAGCCACTTAAAAAGCCAGAGCTTATTCCATTGAATGAAGTAGACAATCGATATGTAGAGGAAGGTGTGGTAGTCTTGTCACGTCCAGATGCTGACATACCTCCAGCCAAATACGAGCAAGATACCAAAGCTAAAGAAAAAATAAAAGACAATGATAAAGGAAAAGGTCAAGAAAAAAGTGAGCACATGTATAAGAAGGGAATTCATGCTGATGCTATCTCATCCAAAGACAGTGGAAATAGAAGTGGGGCTGCTAATGCCCATTTACTTAAACAACAAATTATTGTTGGAAATAGGGCTCCCACCTCGGGTGCCAGTTTGGAAGTTGGAGGCAGTCATCAGATCAATTCTCTTAAGCATGGAGAAAAAGATATTTCTTCACCTGGTGATCGTCTGCCACCACCAGGACCATCAGTAGGATATGGGTTACCTATCTCAGGTAATCCACTAGGAGCCTTAGCAGGAAGTCGGAGTAAGCTAGTTAGACTTCATGAAGGTCCTGAAAGTAGTGGTGTTGATTATGGCGGAAGTGAAAAGGCTAGTAGTATTTGTAATGCGAACCAAGGGTATGTTGGAACATTGGAGGCTGGAGAACCAAGCAATGAGAATGAAAACATGCGGCTAGAGAGCCATCCAGATCTTGCCAGTCGGGCGGCTATTACTTTTGCCCTTATGCAGACTGATGATAAAACACACACTCAGTGTGATGAAGCGGGAGAAGAGAATGCCACACGGGCAGCCCCTTTTACTATGGCTAGTCAGTGGGGAGCATTTGGTTCTAGTGATGAGGGCAGTGAAAATGATAGTGAAGATGATGGTGGTGGGGATAAGGGGAAAAAGTCAGCACGGGCAAGAAGACTTGCAATGATGAACACTCTGGCAGATGAGGATGATCATCAGCTGGATAGTATGGCCAGGAATTCTCTAGTATTATTAGATGAAAGAGATGGACATGAGACTATGAGAACATCTCTTGTATTTGAAGATGATAGCAATGACCTCATGAAGATAATGCAGTCTAGTAGCAGTCGTGGTGAAGATGGTTTGGAGGATGGGGTAGAAACACAAGGCCGTCACTCAGAACCTATTCATCATAATCCTCATCAACATACACAATCTCAAGAAAAATCATTCAGTTCCAGTCCTCGAAAAATGCCAGAAAAACTTGCCAAAGATATTGATAATCGGATAGGGTCTCCTTTGAAGCAAAACACTTCAGGTAGCCCCTCAAAATTTGTGTTCAAAAACAGAGATCAAGGGGAAGAAAAAAGAAACCGCAAGCTTGTGGCGCTAGGAAAGCCACCTATTCATTCTTCTAGTAAACGAGATAAAAGTCAGGATCTGGCCTTATCTGGTGTTAGTGATGGTGCCAAAACTCAAGGTAATGCCCATTTCATTCCTAGAGACTCAACTGCTTCAAAGCCCAAATCTATCCTCAAAGACAAAAACACTGTAATTAGTGAACGCAACACAAATGTTGACAATCGATTCAGTTCAGATTCATCTATGCTGCCAACAGACAGCAATCGTGATTTAAGGGTTGTGGTCACAATGAAAGATGAACCCAATGCTGTGACACCAAGGGATCAAAGTCCTCGGCGTCCTCAATCATCACGTCATTCATCTGGCAAAGCAAGAGAGAGTGAATCTGCTGGAGGTCAGCATATACGAAGGTTTTCCAGGCCAGGCGTATCGGCATCACCTAGAGGTTACCTGGACTCAAGATCTCTTGTTATGCAAGAATCAGATACTGGTCCAATTCCCAAGCCTCCGCCTGGTCATGCTCCTAAAAATGCTGTGGTGACTGCTAGGTAAGAAACTGTACATGCAGTTATTTATTCAGTGTATTACTTGATTTTGTTACATGTGTAGATGCACCCAAGCAAATTCACTTTGGTATTACACTCAAACTCAAAGCAGTCAATATTGTGTGCTCCTTAAGAAACATCTCAACTTATCTTTGTGAAAGTATATTATTAAACAAAAATTTATTTGGCTAAATCAGTTTATTTTCTAAATGCAAATAGGCTTTCTATCTAAAAAACTATTTTTAAACACCAAATATATATTTCTTAAAATACAATATTATTTGGATGAAATCAGTTATTCATCAGGATTGTGTACCTAAAAAAGATTTTTGTTAGTCCGTTGACCACGCCAACATGTTATTAGGATTGGTCCAATGAATGATAATACTGGAAAAGAACGCACAAAAATAACAACAAAACATCCCAAAATCCCACAAAACTCAAGGTAATGCCCATTTCATTCCTAGATACTGAAGCCTTATAATTATTGATGAAATGAATATATCCATTCAATAGTCATTGATCCATTCACTAGCCATTGATATTGTTGAATCCATCATTTATTTTTTTTTCCTAATAGAAAAATTTATATTTATTGACATGATAAACATGAAGTTTATTCTCTATAAATTATTATAAAGATTTGATTTGATATTATAAATGGCTATCAATAAATCATTTAAAATTAACAATTGTTTAACAATTGTTTAAAAGTGTCAAATGCTTATATCAAAACTTTTAATCCAGCCAATTTTCTTAGCACTATTTGTTTATTCATGTAAGAATGACATTCTGCAAAATATAGTTGCAAGAAAATTTTTAAAAAGCCAAATGTTGCTATAACTTTATATAGTTCATTTTGAAAGAATTGTTAAATTTTTCCATACTTTATTTTTATGTGCATGTTTTAATGGCGTATTTATGTATTCATTTGCATGCTTATATTGAATTCATATGTGGGAATCTAAAAATCAGTCACAGCTTTTTTCCTAATCTAAGGTTATTAGTAATCTTGGGATTTTTGAAAACAAAATAATTAATGTTCATACAGACACTGCTAGACATGACTATATCATGAGAATTCTGAAATTTAAATTCTGTTCGTTCCTAATGGCATAAAGTGAATACTTTAAAAAATTCCTTACATCATAAAACAAATAATTGATTTATCTAATGAACTGCTTTTATGTTGTGCAATAGCTTTTAGCTTTAGCTAAGCAAGTATGTATAGTTTTCTTGTTATGATAGGATATCACATGATTTTTAATTATTTTTGTCCCCCTTCAATTTCATTTGCTTTTTGTAAAATCTTATTACACCAGCCTATAGAACAGCACTTACAAATTTTACACTTAAAAAAACAAAAAAAACAATTAGAATCTAATCTCATTATTTCAAAATAAATTATCCAAAATCAGTCACAATTTTTTGCTATGTGATATATAAGGCCCAAATTTCTATAACTCTTTGGTCCTAATTAAGCTGAGCTTCTGTCATTAAGGCTGGTGTTTTTGTGTGTTCCAGGCGCCGTCGTTACAAATTGGCGTCGAGCAGTGTGAGTCCGCGCGAGGCCAACAGCCCTTAGCATAGTCCACCAGAGATCCTAACTTCCAAACCTGTTGTTTATTAGCCATACGTCTTTCTCTACCCATGATCATCACCATTAGCACACTTGGCAACATCGTACATTCCATACACGCACTGCCATGTCTAAGTTTGCTGCACAAAACTATTGGAACAAGGTCTATTGACTTGCTCTACACATTGGCCTGGTTTTTTGACTGCTTTAGGTATGGTAATCAAATAATTTTATGACTTCATAAGACATGCTCAACAATTTTATTTTTAATGTGATTTGAAAGGTATATCATTGTTTTAATATATGTTGTAAAATTATGATTACTTTTAGCCTTCAACTCTGCTTTCATCCTTGCATGCCTTTGTTTGGATAGTGATTGCTATAAAATAATTCTTAAAATAGTCATGTTAAAATAGCTCAATTTGAGATAGCCAATAATGATTAGATTCAACAATGTATTGACAAACATTTAAAACAGTTTTTGTTTGCTCATAAAAGTGAAGAAGATTGAAAAAAGAACAATTCAATGTTTTTTTGTTGTTTTTTTCTAGTAAAAAAGAGTTAATAAAATTGGATAATTTTGATAATAATAGTTCGCTTACTTGGAAAGAATAGTAATTTATTCTTTTGAAATTATAATTTCATTATGATCTAATTTAACCAAAAAATTAAATAAATTTACATACCTTTTTGGAGAATATAATTATGACAGTATAATTTTCCCTAAAATCTGATTTAAAATTATTAATTTAAATGTCATATTTATTAAATTTTACCACAAGATAATTGTTTGTTAATTGTTTAAATGAGACAGCTTTTTTTTCAGTATCTAAATTAAATACCTTAATAATAACTGCTAGAAAATATCAATCATGCTGTTTACTTTTTTATCCACAGACAAGGAACAAAGAGTCCCAAGCGAACCAACTAGACATTGCTTTTAAAACATCATCCAAGTGGAAAAGTATTAATTTCCTTTGAATTACAGCGTGTAATGGCAACATGCCAAGATATTTCCTTTAATAACATGGTCTGTTGAACTAGTCATAATTGACAGCCGCTGATACATCTAAAATTAAAAGATATATTTATGTCCATCATCATTCAACGTGACAGATATTTAGTTTTTTTGTTGTTGCTCTGTATGTTCTCGCTGCATATTTTGAGCATATGAAAGTGAATGAATATCTAAGGTACTAGAACTGAGCCTCTCAAAGTTTTTCATGAGGCTGTATTAACAGAAATGAGATCCAAGTGCTCTCAGCAAATTCATTATCATAGAATATATTTTAGTTCAATTTTAAAATAATGTAGGTGTGTCATCAAAGCCAAAAGCTGCATTACCAGTCTTCCTAGCTTAAATAAAAGGTTGTCTGATTTAGGATGAAGGTGGAGTTTAATGTGTACAGACTTTAATAAGGGACCCTGATTTCAAATATTTTTCTTATAATATGCAGCAATATATCGTTGAACCTGTCAAGGTTGTAAATTAAATTGAAATAGAATACTGGCAAACCTTGACTTCCAGGCTATCTCACGGCACTAGTTCAGTTTTATATTGAATTCCTCTCTCCACTGTAGCATAGAAAAGTATGAGAAAATTCTTCAAAGTAGTAAGATAAGCTTTCTTAAAGCGCAGAGCAGGATATAATTTGTAATAATGTTTTAGGGCTCAATGCAATTTATACCCTATGATAATTTCTTAAAGATTTTTCAAGGTTTTTTGTAGCCAATGAATTGCTGTAGCATTTTACTTGTGGGATATATTGTTCTAAACAGCACCTCCATATTTTAGCTCAAGACCCTTTTATTACTTCTTCCAATGCAATAAGTCATTCCTAACTATGTAAAAGTATCTCTCAATAAACTTTTTTTATGATCTCTAATTTTTAGCATTGAATGTACCAGAAATGTTGGCACTGTAACGGTCTTATAATCTAAGCATGGTAGTCATTTTTTGTGATAATATACAAAGTAGCTAGATATTTTTTTCAAGCATATTTGTGATTTTTTAAATTAATTTAGACAATTACTGGAAAATAAAAACTATTAAAAAGTAGAAGTTTTTTTTTTTTTTTTTAAAGGTTTGAACATTAAACTAAGTTTTGACATATTTTTAAAGAATATTTATAGATTTCTCAAATGAAATAATTGAGTAATCATTTTGGGCTACCACTTCAAATTATTTTGTGTGGGTGTCAAATCTGCAGGATATTATATAATATCAACAAAACCTATTAAAAATGCATACATTTCAAGTTCTCTATTTCTAAAAGCTTTTTTTTTTTCAAATTCCACTTATGTTGTTATAGTTTCACTTTGAGAAACTTCTTTGAAACCTTTACTCACAAATGACTAACTTCCCATATTATAAGCCCTTTTTAAATAGACCCAAGGGATTGCATAATTTGGTATCTGCTTTTTTGGCAAAGAAAGAACATAAAATTCTTTTTTAAAACTATCTTGATATTATTCTGAAGCTTTGTATTTGAGATACTTAAATGTTTGTTTGGGGGGATTTGTTTTAAAAACAAATAACGAAAACTTTTTAAATTGAGAGCAGTTGAACCTTCAACAATGCTCTCTGAAATCAGAATTAATTTAACCTTATGATGAAAGAAATGTGACCAACAACAGTTCTGACAAAGTCATCCTACTCCCAACACACAGCTGACCTCAGATTTTTAACATTTCTTGAGTACATGTAATGTTGAATGTGTCTTTGTGGAATAGTGCCATAGTTGTAGATGTTTAATATTTTACTTTAAATCCATCTGAGCTCTAAGCAGTTTTTTAAATTTTTTTTGAAAATATTTGTTTTTTAAACAAGATTAAGATACCAGCTTCTGAACTCAGTGTATGCAATAATTTTTTTCATTTAAAAAAAAAAAAATTTTTTTTTCCCTAAAGAATTATCCTCGAATATTTTTCCACAGGGCATAAATCTCTAATATTTAAAATTTTCAATAATGCTATGAATTGTAACTTAAATGTCTTCATTTAAATTACTGCAGAAAAACCTGTTGAGAAAATTCAAATAAAATCTGTATTTTTTCTACAAATATATCTCAATGTCAAATACTCATTTCATTTAACTTACTTCTTCTGTATTGATGTACATCCTTTCAAGTCCTCATAAATTCAAGATACTGATAATTAGTCTATTCTTTAAACACATCAAATATTTTGTAAAACTCAGCATTATATCACTGAAAATCGTTTTGTCTCTATTGATAAACAAAGGTTAAAAATATAAAATAAAAAAGGGGAATGAATTATGTTGACTTTTTTTTTTTAAATCCTAAAGAATTTAAAAGTAAAGTCGCACTTAAATTGGGATGTCAGTTCCTTCTTCTACTAATTTTTTTTTTTTTTTTTTTTTTTTTTTTTTTTTTTTGCTATCATGATTTTGTGCTTTTTAAGAGGTTAAATTTCTGAACACATTTTTCTTTTTTTATTATAAATTTAAATTATATTTATACAAGATCTGAAATTGATGACTTTCAAACTATAGGTTGCTTGTGCAATATTTGTACAGAATAAATGCATATGAAGTAATGATTACAATGGTCTATAATAATTTGTTCTAATTGCTCAAAACATGAACTTAAATTTTTATTCCTTCAAGTTTTTTTAAAAAAATGTTTGAGTTACAATATTTGTTTCATCAAAGTTTCAAATTATATTTATCTTTCATGTTTTTTGTTTTTTTAATATTTTTTTAAATAAGTAATATCTATATTCTTTTCTTCCCTCCACCCCCACCCCTTTATCCCCCTCCCACAAGTTATGTACCAGTAGTTAAAAGTCATTTAGTTGAAATTATTAAATTTAATATTCAATTTTTTTCATCCTCCCCTCCCTTTCTGAACATTGGAACAGAAATAGTTTGCTTGACCACAAAAAAAGAGTAAAAAATGGATTTGTTCAGCTGTGATATAAGAACTGACGACTATTTTGTAATAAATAATTTTGTTTCTTTTCTCTTGAAATAAAGATTTTTACAATTGTTAATGATTCCATGAAGGATATTAAAGTTAATTGCATCCTTATTATATTATATGTTCATAGTACAATAATTTTATATAGGGCAAAATAGTCACTGGGATGGATTCTTACGTTTCACTTGTAAAAATAGTTTGAAAAGAAAACTAAGAAGGATTTGATATTTTGTTTCACACAAATTTGCTTTTTTAGCTTCACTGAGCTATGAAAGTTGATTTTCAGATACTTAGAAAGTGAATGTTTTAGTAAAATGTCTGATTGTCTAAGTGTTGTTCCTATTTACAACTTCTAAAACTGATCTTATTTTAAAACATATTTATTTTGATATTTTATTGACATAAGTTTCTCTATTTCTAATGGGAACAATTTTTTTTTCTTCACAATATACTTTAATTCTTTATGAAATGATAATTTAGTTCATATTTGGAATATGGATCTGATGAAAGAGAAATGGAATAAATATCCCTGTCCCCTCTAAATAACAACTTTAGCTTATTTTAATTAAATTAAACAAAAACACCACAAATTTCCTCACTACCTTAAATTTTAAGTAAATTTGAAATAGGTCATCATTATTTTTGTTAACATACTATCTACACATTTCAATAATGTCAGATAACTTTCCTTTTCAATCATATCAATGGCTCCAAACTATTTGCTTTTTTTATTTTTAATATTCCCTTCAGTTTCGTACTGCTGATGGCAAAGAAACATTTTCTCCTATCACCTTGGATTGAAATTTTTATAGTTACGGATTAATTACCTTTGACTGACATTTTTATAGTTATGGATTACAGAAAGGTACTTAAAAAACATAAACAACAGAAAATGTTATAATGGATGCACAAGACATTTGATTTCTATGAAGAAATAAATAAGCTGGAACTGTTGTGATATTATTTAAAGTTATGTTGCCTAATAATCTGCTATGGTTTGTTGGCTTTTACCATAAAGTTTATGGGGTGATATGCACTTATTTTTGCCAGTTGTTGGAACCCAGCCAAGCTTTCATTTATGGCACTAAGTTTTTCTTTTTAATTAAGTTGCCCAGATTTTCACTGGTTATTATGACTCGCTCTATCTGCCAAAACAAGGGACATTGAAAGATAGTCTTTTTATTTTATTTAGCCTGTCCTTTTTTTTTTGTCAGTTTTTTTTTTAAATCTAAGAACCTTTCTTTTTTTTTTATGTGGCATTGCTCTTTATCAATATATTTTTAAATTTTAAAAAAAAATAAAAAATTAATAACCTGTAACCCTTAATTTTTTTATTTTTATTTTTTTTATTTTTTTTTTCCTTTTCTTTTTTTTTTGTCTGTTTTTTTTTTAAATCTAAGAACCTTTCTTTTTTTTTTATGTGGCATTGCTCTTTATCAATATATTTTTAAATATTAAAAAAAAATAAAAAATTAATCACCTGTAACCCTTAATTTTTTTATTTAGGCTCGTAAAGACAATTCAAGTTCAAAATTCTCTGATTTTATAGTTTATATGGGCTACAAGCTGCTCAGGGAGAGGATATTTTATTGTTTTGTTTTGAGGACCAAAAATAATAATTATCCAGGCAAAGGGCCCATGATAAATAACTATTAGTTTATTTCATGCCTATTATTTGCAATAGATTTGAATCTCAGGAAAGAATTATTCACGTAATGTTAAAAATTTATATTAAACATTTTTGGAGTGGGGGATTGTTTTATAATTTGATTATAGCTAGCAAAGCTTAGGGTATCTTCAGGTATATTGTGATAATAATACTACAGTAAACTCCTGGGTATGATATGTTTTAGTGTGATATAAATAATAGTTATATGTGAAAGTTGTGTGGATCTACAGATGTTTATCATTCAATCTATTTTCATGTCTGTAGAAGTCTTGTATTAAATGTGATTGTAAAATGTGCCCTAGTCAGACATTTGGGAGTATTTTTAAGGCATTTAATTTCATTGCATTGATCTTGAATTAATTTTTTTAATTTCTCCCATGAAATAGCTTTCACAACATATTTTTTTTTCTTTCTTGTCAGATCTAGCAAAGATTCGGATTTATGATTTGCATTATAAATGAGAATGTGTTGACTGAGAAAATAATGGTAGTTTTATAGTAAACACACTAAATTGCATAGATCATAGAGTGCATTATCTTATGTCTATTCTCATTACAGTTTAACGTTATGTACCAGTATTCTCAGGATACCATGGTGATTAACTTTTCCTTCTCTTATATTTTTTTCCCTCTCCTAACAAGAATAAAAAATTAAATTTTAACTGTTTAACATGTCTAGATTAATTTCAAAATAGCCTGTGGTAATAGCAGTCACATACTTTTTAACTCCTTGGCTAGTTCATTCAATTTGTTATTCTAACTTCTGAAGAGACACATTTATTTATTTTATTCACATATTTTCCTATCATTAATTGTAAGCCAGCTTCAAATAACTGTCTTTTCTTAGGCTATAGTTATATTTCATTGTTCAGTGGAGAGGAGTTTTAACTTAACTTGATTTTATGTGAAAAGAAATTAAGGTGCAATTATTGATCAAAAACATTTCATTTACACTTTGTTGTCATCATGCAACCTTTTCACAAGAACTCTTTCTTTTAAAAATCATTTTTATGCTTTATTCATTATAATTGAAAGTTATCAGTGGGTTAAAAAAGTTTTTTGTTTAAAAAGTTTTTTTTTAACAGTACAGTGCTTTTGCATTTTATTCTCCTGTAACAAGTCTATTAACTAATATGAAGTGTATTTTCAAGGGTTCCAACTCTAGGCCTGCACATATTTTTGTTTTTTGTTCAATAAACAATTTTTTAACTTCCATTCCCCTAAGACAGGGGTTCCCAACCTGTGGACCACTAAACGATACTCTTGAGAAATTGGGAAGTTTTAGTCATTTTATTAATTGTGTGCATTTGCATTTAAGTGTAGCTTTTCATGAGGATGAATATTTAATACTGTGTGCCCAACTTAATAAATATAGAATTCCATCAATTGACCATTATGTGAATGAGTGAGAAGTAGATTAAATTCAACAACTATCAGTGGTAGAAAATATCAACCAGCACTATCAGGCAATGCTCAAAATAAAATTTGTGATTGTTTCATACATAATTTTATTTTTGTACATGTTATCTAATTGTGCTTAAAATTTTAAACTACTCTTTTTAAGCTACTCTTTTTCCAAGCAAACTTGTTTTTTGGACAGAACAATATTTTGGTTTAGCTAGATATAATTGTTCAGAATGTAAATGCAAAAAGAAAAGTGATTCTTTTGTTGTCTTCTGTTTTTTTGTACTTTATTAAAGCTTACTGTGATTGATGTATACACGTACTTGTCCTAGCATTTACCAGTATATTTATTAACATTTCACATGTGTGAGAAATCCTAGTAGATGAGAATTTTTATTTGAGTGGATCACAACAAATTTTGTAGTTATGATCTGTGTTGACTGAAGCTGGCTGATTGTGCCCCAAAAATCAGGCATAAGAACTTAAATTATGGAAGTAAAAAAAGTTGGGAAATATTTTATAAGTTTGGGTTTGTATTTAAAAATCGATGGTGAATGAAAGTTTAAAAGTTGTTCTTATTTTTAGCATCTTCTTTGTGCCCACCAGATGCTCATGTATTTTTAACTGCTAGGGCGGGATTTCAATATTTGCTTGTCTTTTATTTAAGACCAATCAAAATAAAGCAAATGCTGCCATTCAGATGTCAGTACCTCTTGTTGTGACTTGTGCTGTAACTCTTTCATAGAAAAATAAATTTTTATTATGACCTAATGCTATGGGTGATCAAGATTACAACTGTTATAGGATTTCAAAGTATTACAGAAAAGCTCATCTAGTTGTCAAATTTGACAGATTGGATAAAATATTAAAATGGATATGGTGATGAAACATATTTGGGCCTAAAGTGACATCACAAAAGTGACATGGTAATTAAATTAATATGCATGACGGCTACTGGAAAGGAGCAGCCAAATTTGTGACTGGATTTTTTTCAAATCTTCATTCATTACACAACTTATAAAGCAAGGAATGTTAAAGGACTTCCCTGGTGATACCATTTTTATAGAAACTCCTTCAGCTCCATTTACAGCAAGGAGACTCATACAGACACATTTCAACAAACAATAGGCAATGTTGTCCAAGACTTTATTTTCAAGCACTCTTTGCAGTCGTACATCTAATATTTCATTTAACAATATCTACTTTTTCATGTTTGGTGTTTTAGTCCAGGTATATAAAGTAAAAAAAGTTGAAACCACTCTACCGCTTTAGATAAATGCAAGAACACCAAAAAAATGACTTATCCACAATATTATTTTTAAGTTGTTGTTTTTTTTACACAGTTCAGGAATTCACTGCTAAAATATGTTGATTTTTCTGAAAGGTTTGATCATAAACTAAAATCATGCATCTAAAAGCTTCAACAGCATAGTGGATTTCACTGGAAGAATTTAACCTTAAGTCTATTTGTTACCATGGCAGTCTGTTGTACACACAACTTCAAAGTCAGCAAAAATGGGCAACCACAGAAGACCTAAGTGCAATGCAGTTATTCTTACAAATCTAAAAAACTAATGTTGAGGTTTTTATTTCCATACGAATTATATACCAATAGTAATTAATTACAATTATATAGAAACTCCCTCTGCACACTGAAAAACACATTGTTATAACTAACTTTAGTAAATAGTGGGGGAAAGGGGTGAAGGGAGCAACTGACAAAACGTAACAGAGTAATAATCACATTTGTTGGGAAAACAACACGTCAGATCACTTGTGCACATGGTGTGCAAGAAACAAAGAATAGAATATGGATATATGAGAACCATGCGTGTTAGCCTGAGAGAATACACAAGTGATTTAAATGGATTGCAACTTTTCATTCAGTCACCCATACAAATAACCTTATTTCTTATGTTTATTCTGGATAGAACATATGACGTTGAGACAGTCTTTCCACATCTTTCTTTCATTATTGATGGGACCTTAAAGTAAGTTTAACTTATTATTATTGTCTTAACATTCGTTCTAAACATGTATAATTAAATGGAAAATATTTAACAAACTTGCTAAGAATTTCAATTTCTTGCCATTAATATAATGGAGATTTTTTTTTTTTAAGCCTGGAAAAAATCTATGAAAATCTATATAGATATCTAATATAGATGACTAATAATTTTAAAAACATAATTAGGCCCTAAGCCTATGTAATAATATTTATTTTATTTATGCACTCAAACACTCGCACAAAAACACACACAGATGATATAAGATTTGTTTAATATTTAACATCTTTTTTTTTTCATTTAAGCATCTACAAAAGAACTGTCCAAATACATGTACAATCTATTGAAGCGATAACAGGAGGAAAATAGTTTAATTGCATTATGGCAATATAATCCACAAACATCCACTCAATAATAAATCCACATTGCGCAGAAATGCAATCTAGTAGGTGACAAAACAATGGGTGTCATACAACTTGCAAACTTGGATGTACGTGAATAACCCCAAGTAAAATATTGGGCGGTTCTCGCCCACAGTGCCATGGACAATTATCATTGCAGTATTTAAACTAACTTAAAAAAGGTAAAAAAAAACAACTAAACATTGAAGACCGAATGAACATTTCTATACAACTAGAGGTACCAACCAGGAACAACATCTGGTCAAAGCATTCATGATTTACATATATGAGGATTAAATGATAGAACTTATATTGACCGGAACTTAAGTATAAAAATTCATGGCTCTGTACAAGCAATGGCCATTTAAAAAAAAAAGGAAAAAATTTAAACAAAAGAATTTCTTATGTCCTTCCTTGAGACTCACAATTCAATGTTGGATATGTTAATTAAGCAGATAATTTAAATTTTTTTCTTTCTCTATGCTTTTAAAAAAAAATAATAATCCAGAGATATCAATTTTATTTTAATACTAGAATCACACTTGTGATCAGGTGCAATTTTTTTTAAACTTGGCCATTGAATAAAGTATTGGCAACAGTGATTTGAATAATATTAAACTGCTAACAAAAGGTTGTAAATTGTTGTTTGCATTTATTCAACTGCACAACCAAAATTCAACTCTATACTGAAGCACCATATCATGAGCCTTACGCCAGAAATATGAAATACATACAACAAATTACCTGTACCGGTAGGTCAAACCATGGGAATTTCAAAAAGTAACACACGAACACAATCATTAGAGAACATGAAATTTATTTATGGGATGAACAGTATTAAAAATAAAAACAGCACACTCAAACATGCACCCGTGTACACCTCTGTTAAATCATTCGAAGGATGTTTGGGAGGGGGGGGGGGAGGAGTGGGACATGAGTCACTAGATTATATTATGTACCGTACAAATATTCACAAAATTAAAAAGCCTGCAGTTTGCACAAATATTAAGAGTATGACCATTACTTGACTAACATTAACATTTGCTAAGACTAAATAACAGCCTGATGATATGCTGTGCTGCCAAACTTAAATAGATGTGTTGGGGAAGGGGGAGAGGAATATAACTCTAAGAGGGATAGATTCAACTCACATAGGACAAGGTTCACATACAGGAGGGAACTAATGACTTAACTTATAATGGTGGTCTTATGTGATGCATCACTTGGGTTGATACTTAAGCTCATCTGTTATGTGTATCATAGGATCAATGTTCACCAGAGACTGAGGTGCGCAGACCTGGCAACATGAGATATTATGTGACCTAGATTTATGATTTTAAAATCCAATCAGATTAGATGTTGCTCGACTGGCTAGTGATCACTTTTTCATTACAATTTCTCTGATCCCCCTTATAAGCACCCAAATTATACAATTCCATCAAATCCTCACTGGTACTGTTTAAAACTTCTCTAATTTCTTTTTTACAACAGTAGCAAAACAATGAAATGGTTCACATATATTTATTTAAAAATTATATAATTGTTACACAAAACAAAAAGTTGAAATGTAAATAGTTTTACAATGCCTCAGTCCAGTGTTATTGCTATCATCAAGCTGATAATGTTATCAGTCAATGCCACCCCCATTCCCCCAACCCTTCCCACAAAACAAAGCAGGGAAACTAGTTCATATTTGTGACTAATAAATTGACTGCTGGAACAAGTCCCAAACAAAGTGATAATGCTTTTGAGTCTGGTTCCTAAGTTTTGCTTACCGGTACCAAACTTAAATCAGGGTGGGAGCTGATAAAAACAATGCTTTTAAAAAAAAAATCAAACATTTTTAAAAAACTGAAAGAAAATATAAATTAGTCACATAAAATTTCATACATCTTGAAAATACCCGCAACTTAATACATTCAAATACTAAAAGCAGTAGTGCCCAAAATCTGTAACAGTGTTACTGGGGCATGTTTTCATTTAAAATAAAAAAAAGTTTTGAATATGTATTAATTAAATATGACACATTGTGGCCTAGTAACAAATCACAAAATTGCAGCACACCATTCATAATGATTAATTGAATCTATTTTGTTGTTAATATTGTGTCTTGATGCAAGTTTATACACGTTTAAAGTGTTATTGGCAGATATGAACATTCAAGTATATTCCAATTTCATACAATGACACACAGCTTTCATGCTCAGAATTATTTTTGTTGATTTAATCTGAATATTTTCTTATCATTATGATAACACATAACCATCTTTAAAAATGGGAAAGTATCCAAGTTTATATCCAGTATTACATGACTATCTAGTTAAACAATTTCATATGGTAGCATTTATGAGTAAGCAATTATTGTTTACTTTACTTTTCATAAGATGACAAGTTACACAAGAACACTTAAATTTCACATGGTCAAAAAATTATTTTTCTTTACTTTAATTCAAACAACTCTGTCCACAAGTTTTCCATTGAACACCTTCTTTTAAATAACGGCATCAATGAATGTGCTTCCTACATCAACATCTGTGACACAACCACAACAAAATATTGTCTTAAAAAGCATTTAATTTCTAGCATCATCTTCATTGTCCCTCCTGTGCACAGTGCCATATCAGGAGCATCTTTAATTTGTGTACAGATCCTACAGCTGACATATTGTTACCTTTGTTTTATTCTAGTGCTTCTCAAATTGTGGTTGATAGCAAATTCCATCTTTAAAATACAATCACATTTATGCTCAAGTCAGCATAGAAGAAATGTTACTTAATTTTCTCTTTAGTTTCATTCCTAAAAATTTTCGTTAAAAATGTTACAATAAAAATACATCTAAATAATAATATTATAATACTTCCGTTCTATTTTTAACTCTAATCCACCTTCAATGTCACCCACCCTCTTCTGGTTTGTTGAATAAAATGAATTGGCCTGCCTTTACAGAAAGTTAGACTAGCACCAGGATGGCATCAGGTGTTGAGAAAGAATATAGAATTTCACTATTCAAAGCTGCATGCACGCAACAAGCTGGGAAATGCATAAATCTCATTTTGGCACGGGAAAGGGTGGGTTGAGGAGGGGGTGGGGGTTAGGAGGGGCACTATCTGAAGCAGCTGTGGATACATCTTCTTTTTTAATTAAGTTATGAATTATACATCCTATATATATATATATATATATATATATATTTAAACGTATATAGGCATACTTAGATCCAAGAACTTGCAATGTCAATCTCCAAAGGGAAAAAAATAATTTGTTAAAAGTGTAAACAAAAGTAAACATAAACCAAGAGGCAAAAAACAAAAGAAAAAGTAACAAATGGTTTCCATTTTTATAATCACTATTTATAATATTTATATTAATAATGATGATGATAAAATAAATATGTATTAACAGTCCGGTCTCTTTGCCTTTCACACCTCCATGACACATAAACAAATCAATGACGTTAAGATTTCTTATTCGTTTTTTTGCTATTCATTTCCAATTTATCAAGTTTCTTCCAAAGTTCTTCTCTATCTTTCTCTTTTTTCTTTTCTCTGTTGAGTGAATAAAAAAAAAAATAAGCACACATTTATAATAATTTCAAAGTGTCTCTCGCTATCTCTTATCTTTTACTCACTTTGGTTTAACTTATAAACACATATCTTAATCATAAGATTAAGATTATCATGCTCTGTTTTTTAAAATGACGGAGATAATTGAAAACGCCTAATGTACAAAACAATATCAGCCTACATGACGAAAAGTGATAAATAGTTTGAGTTTTAATATATTAAGAATATTCAAGTTGTAACCCACACCCCCTCCCCACCCCGAAATACAACCTAAATGCATTGGAAATAGACAAAAAAATTAAACATTTCAAACAAGTTTCTAATAGAAAAAAAAGAGCAGCAAACTTGCTAAAAACTTAAAGTATTTTATAACCCCCCACCTCAGTCCTAAGAAAATGTATTACGATCCCAATGTTAGGAATGACTTTGCTAGTATAATCTATCCTCATATCAAAGCACTTTGAGTTTTAAAAGTACTTTAGTCTAAGGTGCTTTTCAATTTAAAAAATCAACCAATTTTTACTTGTTCGAAACCAAAGAACAGTAGACTGTAAACTTCAAAATGAGTGAAACTGAAAATATGTTTATGCTCGGTAATTCTGCTGGCTCAAATAAACTTAGCAGAATAAAACTAAAAAGGTAATTAATTCAGACAAATGCACAATTGAAGATATCTATTTCAATAATCTTTTATGCCATGGACCCTAAAAAAAATCATTGATTGTGTTAACACATTTTTTGTTTTAATTTTTGATGTTACACTTTTACTTTCAAACAACAAGAGATTGAAAAAATCGGTCATATTTGATAGTTAAAAAAAAACCTCATCAAATATATATAAATTTTATATTAAATTGTGAAACTAAAGATTTACTATTTTGTAATGTTAAATTACTAATTGACAAAGACAAGTAATTTATATTATTAATTCTTGAAGAAATCTGGTAGCAAAATGTCATTTCATGGATTGCCTTTTTGCTTTATTATAAACATTTTGCACACAACGCTAGTTCGCTATTGCTACAAATTAAATAATTGTTGAGTCCGATTTTGATTATAAACTTGAAGTTTTTTAAAATTACATTTTTCATTCTCTTCAGACATATGCCCTATTATGATATTTAGTATTCAAGTTTCAGTATTAAAAAATGTATATAATTGGTTTTTTTAAAAACGTTTGCATAATTTATTTGCTATAATTTAAGATTTAATTTAAAATAACTTGAATTTTTAAACTTTATCCTTACATTATTTTTTTCAGTTAGGCCTATGTAAATGTAAACAAGGCTATTAAAAAAAAACAATCAGCCATGTTCCTTAGTTTATTTAATGAAAATATAAAAGTAATTTAGGTAGACTTTTTCAAGATTTTATTTTACTACAGGTTTGGTTGCATATATATTTTTTTTTTTTAAAATTGGTATAACATCACTAAAGGTGAGTATTATCGACTAATTGGACTTCTTATGAATGCAGGGCTTATTCAAGCTGCTAATGTTACAAGACTTATGGACTATTAGCAAGGCCTTTATGACTAGGGACAAAGATTCAAGGCCATATTGAGTTTCCTGAAAGTTTCAGATACTGAAAATAAAGGAGACACGCTATGTAAAGTTGGGACACACTATATTTATCTCAATGCAAAATACTCTATCAGCATTGATCAATTTATGAGCGATTAGGGAAAAGAGGACATATTTGATGTAACTTTTGCTGCAAAGCCTGACATTGTCACATCATGAGCTGCAACCTGAGTATGACACTAACTGGAAAAAGTGTAAATTGTGTTCCAAAAAAAGTATTAAGAGGCCAGGGCATATGTCTGGTGTGTTGTTTGTGATTTATATTTATGTTTTAGTAAAGAAATCATTTCTTTTCAAGAATTTCATAAAGCATGATCTGGGTCAAAGATGATACCATCGGATCGGTATCTACGCAATGTAAAAACATAATTTACTTATTAAATTTTTTTAAAAATTTTCTTAACTTTTATTCTAAATTAATACTTAGTAATAATTTTCTAAGGTATAATTTAATGCATGGATTTTTTCTCAAATATCTTGACTTTTAGGGGAAAAATTTCCTTGAATAATATAGTATAAAAATAGCCATAAATTTTTTTGTTTACCGAGTCTTTTCAACGTATATAGAGAAAATGCGAAATAAAATCATGATGGTCTGCTGTTTTGCTCATAATTACCTTCAATCCTGAAAAGAAAAGAATCAACTTCTAGTCAATCAAAATAACTTACTTTGCCCTCTCTGCCTTGTAGTTTGCTGTGAGTTCATCAAACAGTTTGCTATTCATCTCCATGAAGGTCTTAAGGACATTGTACACAAGAGCTACAATTGTTTGGTTCCAATGTTCCTTGGAGATGCGATACAGGGCAGGAAACATTATTGGGAGCACAACATTGGAGTTTTCCTCAATCAAATTCATTATGTACTCATTGTTCCAAAAATACAAAGCTCGTTCTGCCACCTGATCAAGGGGAAATAAAAAGATTCATGACAACAATCATCTGTAAAAATAATTAGAGTAAGGAAACTATGTGCACCCTGATATTAAATTTAAAAAATATATTGTGAAAAAACAAATTCTTTAAGAGTATCATCCTAATGAAATTAGGTGTCTTTCAATTTTTAATATAGGCCCAAGTAACTTACTAGCTACTTAAATTTAAAATAAAATGTATAAATCTATCCATATTCATTTGAATAATTTTCAGGAAGAGATGTGACAGTTAACAAGTACAGGCATTTTAAGTTATTTGCCTTACCTGAAAGTGAGGACTTGATACACATTTAGCTATCTGACGAAACAAGTCTTCCTGAATCCTTTGAAATTGAGTAGGTTCAATGACATCTAAGATTTCTTCTATTTCCCCTAAAAACATCACCTAAAATAAAAAATGGCACATTTTCACATACAAATGATTGTAAATCTTACAATTTGTGTAGTTTTAATCCTTTTCATTCTCAGAATGGTAGAAAATTAAATAAAAATTCAGTTTTAACACTTTTCATTTTGACAGACCCATTTACCCTTAAACTCCTAAAATATCGTTACAAACTTGTACAATACAATATCTTAATAGTACATAATAAATTAACATACAATATAGATAACGTATAACTACTCGCATCTCACGAGACCGAATTAAGCTTGCCTAAAGAATAGCGAACTGAAGATAAAAAGTAGATGTCTGATGTGTATATTGCTATCTACGGTCACTTTGTTTTTCAGACGTGTATCTGCTATAGATATCAATTAAAACCTAGGTGAACGTGAAGATCAAATTATCCCAGTCTGTTACTGGTAAAAATAAAGTTACTGGTGAAATTTAATGTGATTCAAACCCGAAGTCAGATCAAAAGCTTTAATTGGGTGAAGGGGTATTAAAAATCACAAAGCTGTTTTGCGCCTTCTAATCATAGATTTAAATGGCCCCCTTAGATCCTATAAAATATGTCAAAATCTTATTGCTATGCAGACTAGTAGAGAATGCATTCTCCAGTTTTCTCGCCGCGGTTTAGGTTTTGCCTAAGAAATAATTACGTCATAAAATTACGTCATACAGCACTCAAGCAAACAACAGCGAGGAGAGGATCATCTGTATAGCACGTATACTACAAAAATTCAAATTTTCTACCCCCCCCCCCCCCCGCACTTTTTTTAAACACCCACCCCAAACAGCTTCAGACCCCTCGAAACAAAAAAATCCAATAATCTTTAAACAATTATTATGTTACATTACTAAACAAAATGTGACATGGGTTTTCACCGCTAGCTGTTTGGCAAGACCAGTGGTTCTCAGAATATAAGCCGCATCACCTTGGGGGCTAATTGCCCTCGTGCAGAGCCATGAGAATGGGGTGAAGAACAACAGACACCTAAATTGTCTTTAGAAAGGACCTTAGTGAATTAAACTATAAAATCACATTTACTTCACACAGACAAGGGTGCTAAAAATAGTATTATAGTGGTCCGCAAGGGGGATGGTAGGTGCATATTTTTCTATAAAGGATGCTGCTGCTTCCTCACAGGGGCATTGCGAAATATTTAAAAAAATGTCATAATTTTATTTCCATTTTTAATCCAATGTGACATCTTTTGGTCATGGTGCAAACAGTAACCCACTTAAGTAAATCCATCCATCCATCCCTGTGGCGCTACAGCCCATGTAGGGCTTTGGCCTGCCTCACTACTTCCTTCCACTCAACCCAACTAATGCTTTTCTTTTCCATGCTTGGATTTTCAGTTGTTGTAGATTTTTTTCAACATCATCCATCCATCTAAGCCAATGTCTGCCTTTGAGCCTTTTTCCTCTGGGGTATTGGTGATGCACCCTCTTTGTTCCTCTGTCATTCGGCATTATCTCTAAGTGTCCTGCCCAGCGTTGCCTGCCCCTTTTTATTTCTGCTACTATCATGGGATCATGATATAGACTGTACAATTCATGGTTAATTCCTATTCTCCATCCATATTCATCCTTTGTTGGTCCATATATTTTCCTGAGAACTTTCCTCTCCCATGTGTTTAATAGGTTTTCTGCCATTTTTGTAAGGGTCCAAGTTTTACTTGCATATGTTACAACTGGTCTGATTACAGTTTTATAAATAGTTTTCTTTGTTTCTCTTGTAATTCTTTTACTTTTGGGTATTTTCTGACTATTGAAGTATGCCCTGTTTCCGGCTGATATTCTTTCTTTTATTTCTGTTAGTAATTTGTTTCTTTCATTTAATAAAGATCCTAGGTATTTGAATTGATTTACATTTTCAAAAGTCTGGTTTCTAATTTTAATTGCTTCTTCTGTTTGTTCTTCTCTTATCATGGTCATATATTTTGTTTTTTGGTCATTAACTTCCAGCCCTGCTTGTAGTGATGCGTCTTCTAATTCAATAAGGGATTTTGATATGTCTTTAATACTTTTCCCAGTGCTATGTCATCAGCATATGCAAGATAATGAAGTGGTTGGTTGTAGAGTGTGCCCATTGATTGTGGGTCTTGAGTTTCCCTCAGAAAGTATCCTGTTATCGTTCCTCGAGTGTCAATGTGTATGTTTCTCATAACTCTCTCTGTTAGGTTAAAAAGCATACAAGACAGTGAGTCTCCCTGTCTTAGGCCTCATCTAATCTGAAATTCCCTTGAATATTCTCCTTGAACCTTGATTTTGCTTTTTGCATTGTTTAGTGTTACATGTATCAGTCTTGCCAGTTTGTTGGATATGCCAAACTCCTGCAGAGTCTCATATAGATATTTTCTTTTGATGCTGTCATAGGCCATTTTATAGTCCATATAGAGTTGATGTACTGGTATAATATATTCATAGCATTTCTCTAATAGGCATCTGATGGTGAAAATCTGATCAGTCGTTGATCTGTTAGGCCTGAATCCACATTAGTAATCACCTAGTATTTCTTCAGTGTAAGGTTGTAGTCTATTGGCAATAGGCTTTGTCAGTATTTTGTATGTAACATTTAATAGGGAGATTCCTCTGTAGTTTGTGCACTGAAGTTTGGACCTAAGTAAATACCTTTTGCAATTAGTAGATGGCACTTAGTGACTTACATACATGTTATATTTATTTTTACCCAACCCTTTATTTTATTTTGTTTATGAATTCGCTATTTCGAAGTGTACTTGTAACACAGAGTCTGGTGAATACCGGAATTTGGCATTGGCGCCGGGAAACAAAAATTTTGCCACTGGCATAGCCCAAAAAAATATACGTCACAGCACGCTGAACATACGGTGGACTAAATATTACTGTAATGCCTCTACTACTTAGTACTATCTGACCACTTAGTACTATCTGATTACTTATTACTATCTGACTATATCTAGAGTTCATTTGTGAATATACATGGCAGCCTTTTGACGATAATTCGTACAAAACATTGCATGCTATTTTTACATCATTCGAGATTCAAAATTTCTGGAAAAATATTTAAGTTTTTAAATAACGTACGTACTTTAGTATTGAATTAAATATTTAAATATTTGGACCCCCCCACACACACAATCTCCTAAATCAACACCACTCCATTCTCCTCTCAGGGCAGACTTAATATAATTATTTATGGTCCCCAACCAATCATATTTATTGATCCATTCCCTGCTTAATGTGGAATGCAATTGCAAATTAAAACTAACTAACAACCGAAAATGAACTTTTGAATTATTATTTTATAAAAGCGGAACTAACTACCAGAATGTATATTTTTTTAACCTGGTCTCTTAAAAATCATAGTTCTGATGGATCTAGGCATACAATTGTAAAAGATATCTCAAAATCATACATTGTAAGCCAAAATCTTACAAGTCAACAGGTCTGTTATTAACCCCAAAAAGCTATTGAGAAAAAAAAAGGTTTAAAAAAGAATAAATTGAATCTTTGCTAACATTTCTCTCACCAAAGCCATTTCATCTTGATGAGATTAAAAATTAAAACCTAAAACTTTCTAAACTATATAGAACTTGTCCAAATAGACCAGAAGCCGATTGGATTGTCATACAATTATTATACTGATCAGTTATATACAAGAGATGTAACCAATTACTCTTGTTAATTTATTATTCATTATTTTAATTCTAATTTTAATTTATTTCTGTAAAAAGATCATTTCTTCAATTAAAATTTATGGTACGAAAAGTAGTGGTTCCCAAAGTGTGCGAAATGTTAAAAAAGTTTCATAATTTCAATTCAATGTGATAGGACATGACATCTAGCCAACCTGATGAAAACCAGTATTGATTATAATTGATATCTTCGTTAATAAACCTGCCCTCCTCTCTTAGTTTTGGCTGGGAAAAATTAATAACCCACACCCATAAGCTGACTACATAAAATAATATGCTAGTGTAAGCACCACAGTATTAAAAAAAGATTATGTATGTATAAGACAAATACCATATCTTAACATTTCAAAAAATAGCTGACTGCGGCTTGGAAAGAAAAAGATGGTAGCATTGTCTTTCCATGCATGTATTCCGCTATAGATATCAATCAAGTTAACAAGTTTGCATAGATGTTGATTGCAAATATAGGTCAAATGCTGGTAACAAACCATATCAAAAAGGGATTATAAAAATAGATTTGAGCTTTTGCTACACTTATAAAACATGACAATGTGACTTTTCGTTCTAGATTGTATGTACTTAGGTATTCTATAAGCACAGCCAATCTTGGCAGTCACAAAATAAGGACAAAACTAGTGACCTATTTTTTAATACAGCTCTAGGTTGGTTTAGTAATCAATGTTTTTGACATTGTTTTCTATAAATGAAAAAAAAAACAACAACATTGTTGTCTTTAAGTGAATCAATGTACCTAGAAAAAATTATATAAATCCTGCACTTATTCTCCTTGAAATATTTCACCAAAAAGTCAGCTTTAGAATGAGAATATACTTTAAATCACTTAGTAATAACTATCTGCAGAGGCCTCTACTAATGGTTACTAGAAAGGATTCAGCAAGGGGGCATAGAATTGAATAAGTTTGGGAACCTAATTATTATATTAGCTTACCTCTTTTTGACTGCATGTCTTGGGCCAGAACTTCAACAATCCCTTTATCACCTATTATAAACAAATTTATTTAACTGTTTATTAATTTTTTCATTAGTTATATTAAAAATAAGAACTTATTTTGTTTAGAATATTCACACCTGAAATACTCCACCTATGTTTTGTCTTACAAGTAAAATGCATTCTTCTAGGGAATTTCGGCTACCTCCCAATTTTTAAAAGACTCATTGATTTGATATTAAATTAATTTTACGAGAGAAAAAAACAACCCCATTTTTGTTTCTTAAATTATAAACTCCAAAACTGGTAATTAATCAATCCATTTTGAAAACATTTAATAAAACAACATTACTTCTAGTGTATAGCATATAGTTCTTTAAAAATAAATTTAAAAATAGAGAAACATGAGAAGACTTACATCTTCTGTTAATGAAGCATCTTTTTCCAAAAATTGGACAACACAGTAAGCAAGCTGTAGAACAAAAGTTTTTAAATAAAATTGCAGCAATTGTATTTCTAAGAAATAACTTCTAAAATTGTGATAAGACCCCTAATTTATCAAAATAACACAAATATAATAATGAGGTTCTGTTTAATTTAGTAACAGTTTATTTTTAGATTAATAAACCGGTGTTAGTAAATAATGTAAAAGCTTTTAGAATGCAAATCTATGTTGAGCTTTTCATTTTCCAGTTTTTTTTTACCATACCCTATACCTAAAATATGGTTTTGTTTAAATCACACATCAATCAGTTTCCACAGAGGTTTTATTAAAGTTCCCCTAACTCAAAAGCCAAAAGAGCAGTTCTTAGGAGTTTGGGGGCCCTAAGCATGGAGCATAGGTTGGGGGCCCCGGAAGGAGGGGTCCAGGGGTGGAGCTCCCTCGGGCTGAGGAGAAAACACCACCCACCACTGCGCTTCCTCCATTCTGCCTTCATCAATGTTTCCTCTTTCCCATTCCCACGGCCAAGCCCCCGATTTCCTGTCTGCCACCCCAAAGCTCCCCCCTGCTGTTCCTTTCCCCTGCCTCCGAATTCAACTCAGAATGATAAATTTCAGGATGAGGAAGGTACGTGAGTTACACAGACGGCTGCAGTGCCTCATGTTCGGGGCCCTACGCGGATGGGTAGTCAGCGCATGCCTAAGAACGGACCTGATGCCAAAAAATATAATGTTTAAAGTAAGAAAATGTGGATTTGAATTTTGTTTATATATTCCATTAAGTTGTTTGAGGCATTTTGTGGGGAAATGTAAATTTATTTTTTTCAGTCAAAATGAATATAAAAATCGATTTACACATACAAGAAAGATTTAAATGAATTTTTAAAAATATTACCTGAGCATGATAGAGACTTAAACTGCGAGACTTATGCAGTGGGATTAGAACCTTCATGAGGAATTGCCTATGTTCTGCCTTCAAAGGCAATGCAAATCCATTGATAATACTTCCTAGAATTTCTAGGAGTTCACCCACCCCATTAAACTGCTCAGTTTCGTATATGAACCTGTAATTTTGAAAATGAAATTGATCAATGACTTATATAAAAAATATAACGTCTTTATAAAACATGCAAATACAATAGTTTTCACATACAGTAATAGAATTTCATAAAAATCTTCCAAGCTGTCATTGATAATATTATTCCATTCTTACATTTCAACTTTTTTTTTTTATGGTGTAAGGATTTTTAAAAAATATTTTCCTACTAACATTTTTTTTCACCCTGTCAAAAAAGATATAGTCTACCATATTTTTTACCGTAGCCCAATAAACATTTTAACAGATAATTAATTTAGTCTCACGCCCAATAAACATTTTAAAAGATAATTAATTTAGTCTGTAAAATAAATTCAATTACAATAGAACTGATATTTCAAAAAGAATTAACAAATATAGATTTCAGTTCCCTTCTGTAGAGCTGATCAAATGACATAAGCTAAATTGTCATTCTTTACTTAATAGGACTTGTTATTTAATGGTGGAAATCTATTAATAGAACTACCGTTCATCCAGGTACTTTCGTCAGATAAAATGTCAACACTGTTCAAACCTACTATGTTAGCGAATAAGCCCTTAACCTTTATCAAAACATGTTTCCAGCCATACTTTACGTAATATTTTACAGTTTTTATACTGCTATTTTGTGAAATGGGACTTCATAGTGCGTTCGGCACATGTAACAGTGATTCTAGATACAAGGATTGTCTGAACAATATGCTTAAACACACAATTAGCTGCCATGTTTTAAGAAATAGTCGGATGTTCTAAAAATAGTAATGATATGACGTCTGAGAAATGACTAACCCTATAGGAAAATGTTTTACCTGAGAAATATATTATTAATCTGTTTTCTAATGAATGCTCTTAATCCCAAAAATTTGCCATATATCCTGTGCAGGACGGTCTTGAGAAAATCTCTTTCACGTGGGTCTTCACTGTCAAAGAGCTCCAGGAGCTGTAAAAAAAATATCATCACAATCAAAAGATACTCATATTATCAATTTAAAAAATTATAATTTAAGAAGTTAATTTTTTTTTTAAATTTCCAGGACAAAATATTATTTACCTTACATTATTTCAAATAAAGTATTTAAATAAAGGTAATTTTAGTGGCACTTTTTTAATTACTTGCAAAAAAAATAATAAAAAATTGGAAATAATGGAGATTTGGCATACCAGTACTATGAGAAACTGACTGGGGTTATATATACAAATTTGTTCACATTTTAAAGATTTTTTAATTTAAAAAAATCACTGGTGGATAGATTTAGGTAAATATTTTAACTGTATTTCTGAATACTTAATTGAAAATCCCAATTTTAGCCTCTATGATAAGGTAAATCTCCAGATAATTTGCAGATGTCAAAAACCATCAAATAATAAACAACAAGGTACTACACATGTCATACTTTTAAAAAATGAATTATCTTATGTTTTGGAACAACTAAAGTTATTCAATAAAAATAGAAGCTTAAAGAAATATTAACTATAATAAAAATGTGCAAAAACCTTACCTGAAGTACAAATCTTTGGTCTATATATTTTTTTGCCAAACTGGGCTGGAAGTCTGGAGATTCTAAAAAGCGTAGAAAAAACTCATACACAATCTGAGGAAGAATTTTCAAAAAATATTAATCTAAATAATTAAAATTCAGACAAAATGCTATTTCCATTCAGCAAAATAATGCAAATCTTAACTGTCCAACAAATGATACACTCAAGCATGGCAACGAAAGAAGTTAAATAATTATTTATAAAAAACTTTTTTATAAGTGATTGTTAATCATTACTTGTAAATGTGGCCATGATGCCTCTAGAGTAGGGTCATCTTCTTCAGGATCAAAATCTGGGTTGTCATTGGGGGGAAGAGTTCGGAAGATATTACAAGCAATCTGTAAATGAAAATACAAACATTTTTAACGTATAAATAAATGGCTGTTCTTTTATTTACTTAAAAACTATACATTCATAATAACAAAAGCAGTCAAGCATTTTGTAGTATTTTTTTAAAATTTAACATCAAGTATTTCATCTATTATGAATTAATAATGTTCATATCTATTATTAAACTTATGATTAGAATTAAAAATCCTTTTTGCAGAATATTCAACAATATCTAACCATGCGAACAACTTCAGGATACACAGGTTCCGTAAGCACATTTCGAGTTGCAGTGATATAATCTACTAGTTCATTAAGAGCTGCACGTTTTATTTCCTTGCTCTTCAGGTCTGTAACAGGGTCCATAAAGTCAAAGACCACACAACATTGCTGTAGCTTCTTGATGAAAAGCTCCTGCTGTTCATTTTGTGGTGTATCTGTAAACATAGCATTATATTACTCAAATTATTGTTTTTATTAAGGGTTAAATTTATTCTTCCTTAATCTGTGAAAATTATTACCAAATATCTCCTTTTCTTGAAACCCCTCTAGTAATAGAAAAACAAAAAACTTGACCACCTATGTTAAACTAATTTTAAAAAAAATCAAAAGCAAATTTCAATAATCTGACCAAGAATAAAGAATATTTCGTTACTTCGCTTGTCACAAAGTGGGTGTGCGGCCCACCAGCACCCACTTTGTGACAAGTGAAGTAACGAAATCCCGCCAGCACCCACTTTGTGACAAGCAAAGTAACGAAATATTCTTTATTCTTGTTATTTTCTTAACAGCTTTCCTCACTTTGTGGCCCCAGAAGAAAAAAAATTATTCTTTATTTTTATTATTTTCTTAACAGCTTTCCCCCTGTCCTATTTTCTTTAGGCCCGCACCAGTCCTGTCATATTTTCTTTTGGCCCAAACAAGCTTTTCATAAAGTATTACAGCCCGCCTTACATTTTGAGCTGAGCAGGCCTGCTCTAGACTAAGAAAATGATGTATTATTAAGGGCTATTCTTTCATTCCTGGCTTAAATCGTAAAAAATATAATAATTGTATATTTTCATAGGTATAATGAAACCTGCACAAAGATTTATTCAATAGATCTTAATATTTTCATTTTCTTAAAATGTATTGTAATTTTGTTAAGCATTATATTACAGATACAATTATTTTTTTTTAATACAAACCCCCTGAAATTATTTAATTTTCTAATATTCTTAAAATAAGTGAACATGGTTTAAACTGGATAGAACCCTGAAAACACAGATTTGTTGATCTATTTCGTGTGTGTAATTATTTTTAATCATCCATCTTTTTAATGCAAGTCTTTTAATAACCTGATGTGTATAACCATCCAATCAACCAGCAGTTGAAAAATTTTGTGAATTAACTACTAAATTTGCTTTTTTGATACAGTACACACCTAGTAACTGTTGAGGAAGCTATTCATTTATTTATTTTTTTAAATAAAAAATTAACACTCAACATGGTTTCGAGATCTATACTTTATTTGCTTTGTTATTATAGGCTTCCTGCAAACACTTTTTGTTTTCTTTCCTTCCCTGTTTTGTTATGTTCCTTTCTTCAGGTTTGACCTTACTTTGTTTTACTCATATCCTATTTTGTTATTATAAGCTCAATTTAGTGAAAGAGTGGTTCAAAGCAGCAATGAATGGAAAAAGATCATAAATGGCATTGTGGTGGAGTGACACAGTTTAAGTCTAGAAGAGAGAGTAAATATTATTCTGGCCATCTGAAGATTGTGTTATAAAATTGTAATTCTTTTGTAGATTGTGTTATAAAATTGTAATTCTCTTGGTCTGATACAGAGTTTATAAACATTAAAAATTTATTTGAAAGCAAGCGCCAAGTAACTTGAAAATAAATAATAATAATAAATATAACTTTTTAAAAGAATCTAGGATACAAACTGAATTGGCCATTTTCTAAACATAATATGTAGATATGTGTAAATTTTAGATTTTTTAGATTAATATTATTAACATATACTAAATAACTAAAATGCAAAATAAAATAACTATGGCTACCATTTTAATTAAACTAAATAAATATTTTTGCTATGTGCAGCATTGTGAAAATATTGTACAGTACAGTAGATGGGGCTTTAATAAAGTATAAATATGCAGTATTTTTGTTTTGTATATTATTCATATTTACTTCAGTTTTCCCTGCACCTTTTTACAGAAACTTTGGGATTTATATTAAGTTGATGCATAATATACTTGAAATTTTTATGGAATTTTAAATGTTAAAATAGCTTTACTACTTAAAATAACTAGAAAATTAACTGTTTCAACAATCCCCATTTTATATTAATATGCAGACTTATAATAACATTTGCAAAATTATACAACTTCAATTTTTTTCATAGAATAGGGAACAAGTTACAGAATTGTTCAATTCAAAAGAATGTTAATAAAAAAATGTTACTTTTATACTTTCATTTAATGTTGATTGTTTTTCACTTATGAGCAAAATTAAAAGCTACTAATTCTGTTGCAAAATAAAGCTATGAGTTATCCTACAGTTGTGAAAGTGTATAGTATACAGATTTTGATTAACATAGTTATTTTGTCAAACTGTTTATCATTTGAGAAATCCAAATTTAAACCATTAATGGTTTACATTTCATTGTTATGAATTTTTAAAGTTCACTTTCTTACTGTTTCACTCATGGTTCAAATTATAAGCTCATAAAGGGAAGTGGAAATTTCATCCATGATATCTATCACTACTGGTTTGTTATAGTAATTGATTGAACTGTTCTGGCTCAGTGTGCAGTATTTACTGAGCACCAGCAAGTACCTATAATCATTATCTAGCATAATTTAAAATCACCTAATCACAAACCCTGGAACTGATTAATAGTCCTAAACCACATTTTTTGGAAAATAATATTGTTAGTACATCCATTTTTGGAAATGAGCAAAGACAGATTATTCTAGTCCCCAAGGTTCTTTACATAAACTGACCCTATTAAGCATATCCTCCAGTGTTCTATATTTTGATACACCACATAAAGCAAGGATATGAGTACTGTACCGAATTTATAGTGCAGGTCAAACAAATTAAAAATTAAATACTATTTTTTGCTCTAAAATTAGGGTCATGTTCACAAGAGTTATATAAATAATAAAAACAATCATTTTGTAAAAATACAATTGACAAGTGATAATCGTCGGAAAGCTGATTTAAAAAAATTCAGTAGGCAAGGAGTTTAGGATATGAATGGCACATTTTAAAATAACCTAGACCTATCGACCAGCTTTTTTAAATTATAGAGAAAACAATAAATTACTAACTAACAGCAAAAGATGCATTGAAAAAGGTAGAATACTTAAATATCACTGCACATATCCTCTCCCCTATTCTAACAATGATAGTGCTGCTGGACATGGCGTTACATGGACTATCCATCTATATCAATAATGATCGGGTGGAGGGGGGCTGTCTATGAATATGTGCTACATTGGCAAGGGTGTCTAGCTTCTGTCACAAATTTCTGATGATTGACCAAACATGTCTCACAACATTTATGATTATGGATGGACCCGACTCCTACCAGCCTACCACTAACTATTTAAATAATTATTAGCCAAAAAAATAGTCAATATATTATATGATTATAACCTACAAAAGCCTTATGAGTAGATCTTAAGGTGGCCTGCTTATGTTTCTTATTCTTATTAATAATTGTTCGACCTATTTATTTACTTTGATAAAAATGACAACACAGCTGACCTGAAACTCTGAAACTATCTGCTATGTATAACTTATACTACAAGTCTATAAGTAGAGGCAGAGTGTATAGCCCTAAGCCTTGTATAATATATGTGATATGCATAGTGGAGTAGTATTAATTTGAAACTTAGCTACTGGCACTAGTGAGCACACTCTAACTTTAATAAGTCTAACTCAAGACCCACAAGAGGAAGAGAGTGCAGTACCATTATTTATTAACACTCACTTCTTAGTCTTATTCTTAAAGTTCTGACTTCCTATTGAAAGTTATTACAATTGAGAGGCAGCCCCGTTCCCCCCTCCCCAGTTACTTGTCACAAAATCAGTACAGTCACAAACATATTTATACCTTTCAAATGGGGTAACGCCTGAAGTTCTGGTGCAGTGTTGGCACGGTAATGCGATGATCCTTGTGATCGCTTTTGTTTCTTCGATTTGACAGCTGCTTTAGCAGTGAATGGGTCAATGCGATCGGCGAGTTTTGCCGACATTGTGATTTGACTACTATTGCGGTTAAACCGCTATGAAGTGGCTAAAGCCCAATTTACATGTGCTTCAAGATTGGTTCGTTAATGGACATTTGCAGTCTTCATGAACTAGCATACACTTACACACTGGACTAGTTATTTATTATACTCGAGCCGATAAAATCCGTGGATACACTTGACAGCACAGGTTACCGACTTCTTACTAATTAAACAAATATTTCTTTTCCGTGAACAATGTTGTTCTTCAGAGAAATGAACGTCTTTATTAAAAAAAACGATCAATAACATGCAATTTAGTAGATAGATGATTAACAATGAGGAAAACAAAATATCGCAGTGTGTTGCTACTCAAGATAATGGTTGCCCATTTCTCGTCTTAATTCAAGCACTTTGAGATTTTGACGAGATTTTGAAATGACCTTGACCCAGAGAAGGTCATTGGGTTGAAAGGTAGGCGTGCCTATGAATGGGCAAGACTGGTAACATACTGTTATTGGTGTTAGTTGTGGTTACACAGATTAAGGAATTACAATTAATACAATTTAGCGCCCCCACCCCCGAAAATATTATCTTAGAGTAAAAACTTTCCCTCCCAAAAAATCTGTCTTAATTTAAGCTGCCTTTTATATTCGGTTCAGTAGAAGCTTATCTTATCTAAATCACTAAATGAAAATACGTTACTCCTCCTCCCCCATACACCCATCATAATCATAAAATTAACTCGTATAATTATTTTTTATTTGAAAAAAGTTTCAACGATACAATATAATTTGTAGAATATACAATTTTGGGAGTTTTAAATAATCGGATAAACCGATAACTGTAATTAACTGTCAAAGTAGGTATAAGCTGTTTTCGTGGAGATGGAAAAAAGTAATAAAAAAAACAATATTAGTAAAGGTCGAAGCCACTTTATTATAAAGCACTAGTTTTTTTGTTTGTTTTTTTCATTCATTAAGAATTAAAATAAGATCAGTGAAATTCTATTTTGTTTGATTGTTATATAGCTAATTTTGAAAAATCAAAGTATGCCTACACATAAACCCTCACAGATATAATATTTTCATTGGATCTCTATTTCAAACATACATTTAAAAAAAAAAAAACTAGTGTACGAGTAATATAACCAGTGGCGTAACTAGGGTTAGTGTTGCCTGGTGGGGGCCAAGATTTTTGCTGCCCCCTTCCTGTAAATGAAAGTATTGTGTGGGCGGAAAATTCCAACCCTCCATTTAAAGAGAGAGAAAAAAGTATCGTCCGTCCTTCTTAGGTCACTGAATATAACATCATACAACAAATATTATGCATTACAATTTGGTTTTATTGGCTTCGCTGATGAGAACTGGTAACAGATTATACCAAAGATATTTTTCCCCTTCAGTTTCTTAACTTCTACACTCAAAGCAAGATTACAGCTTGTCGTGTCTGACCCATGCAAGCTCTCAAATACGAATGAATCAGTTTTAACTGACAGAAAGATCTGGTCACATTTCCTGCATCGCGTCTTGTTTCACTGGTCACATTTTACTGCATCACTTCTTGTTTTACGGGTCACATTTCATTATTATTGAAAAACTTTGAGCATACATATGCGCCAAACAGTCTCATCTGGTACTGAAATGGTAAGTGAATGATCTCTTTGCCTTGTTGTCATCTGTCTCAGAGTTATTTTTTAGTGTGTTCATTCGCATCGATTTGCGAAATGCGGTTTACTGGCTTAGGAAAAGGGGTATTAATTGATGGACTGCATTCAAGTTGTGAAATCAAATATAAGGACAAGGTATGGTAAGCTTTAATTCTTTGACTGGACAAAAGATTGACATTTCGGCTAAGATCCTTCATCTGGAAAAAGGGGGAGGGGGGAGGGACAGTCCTACCGGGCGTTGCTTTCGGCCAGTTGCAGAGGGTTTTTATTTTCATGGTGGGGGTGGAACAAATCTTGACCCGCCTTGGGGGCACTTACCCTTAGCTTTATACGCAACTGAGACAGTGTTTCCCAACGTGGGGCGTACACTTGACAAAGCACCAAATTTGAAGATTATAGGGGGTGGGGCATTTAGTCTCTTAGAACTTAGAACCAGACAAATTAATTTTTCTAAAAAGGGTGTGGGAGTGTGTGTGTGTGTGGGGGGGGGGGCTGTTATACAGGACATAATAATATGTTTTTAAAAATATTTTTTATCATGCAATGTTGAATCTAAAAACCTAAATTGGCAGTTTAAATGAAATTCAAGCTTCCTTAAGGTATTTCGGAGACATTTATTTTTAATCTCTAGGGTAAAAAAAAGATTTTAAAATACTGATATATTCTAAATGTTTGTAGTCTGTGCTACCTTGCTCAAGACAGTTTACACATCGTTCACTCAGATTTTCAAACATATCCCGGAACAAATTTTGCTGCCGGGTCCTTCAAAAAGATACACTTTGCTAGTGCGTTGCACAAACAGTTCTTGGTGGCTCTTCGCAAGGGACAGCACTCTCTTTTTATAAGTCAGTTTTCCTGCAGCATGGCTAAGCATTCTCGAGCGGTATGGTTGGTCGCCCCACCTTGTTTATTTGTGAAGGGTTCTTACACGACATATACTCCCCAAACCCTGAAATTGGACGATTATCATGTCCCTACAAAGTTCTTGGTTGATGGTTATACCGTTGCCTTCCGCATCCTTAACCCGCTTGCCGTAGACTTTGCCAGGTGAATGCAGCACGTACTGGAGAACGCGTGCGTCAGTCTCATCCATTGAAACAGTTACTGGTCCACCAGAGTTCCCCTTCCTCTGATTGCTTACAAAAAATTCATTCTCACTACTGGGAATAGATGAGACCGCAGCTACATATATACATATGCCAGCGTTCCCCAGATGGTAGTCCGTGGGACCAGTCCGCACAACATTAGTCAAGAACTTTGGTGGTGGTGGTGGGGACGGCGGGAAGTGAAAGGGGCAGGGGGGGCTAAACAAACAAAAAAATAAAAAGAAAAAGATTATTCAGGGCTGTTTAGACATGTGGATCGGATAGACAAGTTGGCTCACTTGACATATATTATTATTTTTGCCCGATTCAATGAGCTCAACGCATTCATGGGTCACAATGGCTGCCAAAATTGACGGTCATAAACAAATGCTAGACGCATAGAGTAGTGGGGTGTCATAAAATTGTTTTGATATGTTTCACTCCTTAGCAGCAACCATCATTGGTTCAGGGAGAAGCGCTTGATGACACATCTATACCTAAAATCACGCCCCTGATGAGCATAGTGTATTGTTACGCACTGACTTTTATTGGGAGAAATTAATCTCCTATTTTAGTTTTAATTGGCTCGTTGTAAACAGTGCCTAACAAAGGACGATACCATAGAATCAACAATATTAAAGATGCGACCCAAAACAGTTTCTATTTACAATTAATAAGATTTATTAAGTCTTAAGATAATTACAAAAGAAAAGAAAATATAATTACAATCTTCAACTTACAGTATGGTAGATCTTGTCCTTTCTAAGACCTCTAATAACCGCCTATTGTATGACCTTATTAGAACTATTATTCACCAACTGAATCGGGAACTATACCGCTTCCTTTCTTCCAACAAAAAGAAAAAACTCGACAATCTTAGGCCCACTAACAACTCTACACCTCATCCTACTGTCACAGGCAACAACTTAGTCGTGTGCATCCCCCCTGAACTTCCACTCTCTGATGACGAAAGGTCGCTACTTTCTAAGGGTCTCAAATTTATTCCTCTGAAACCATCTTGCGACCGATATCTACTTCTTTCGGATTCCCACCGCTACTTTCGTTCCTTGAGGCTTCAGTTTCACTTCGGTGGGAAAAGTACCGACCTCCCCGAAGACGAGATTTTTCCATTTCATAGGGAACGCAAATCTACTTGGACACCACCTTCTAATCAATCTAAAGCTTTAGACTTATATATAAAGAGCACGGAACATGACATCAAGAACCTCTCTTTACCTCCACTCCGGAAATCCAATCTTTCTAAAAGAGAATCACTCGCACTCTCTAAGCTGCGCAGTCGGAAAGATATCGTCATCAAACCAGCTGATAAGGGGGGAGCTGTTGTGGTGTGGGACAGAGATCTGTACATCAAGGAGGCTCATAGGCAACTAGAAGACAGCCAGTTCTACCAACCGAGGACCAACAACCCTATCACCAAACATAACGACATGGTGAAAGGGACTATCAAGAAAATGATTGCAGAATCAGCGCTCCCCAAATCGGCCTCTGCCCTACACATCTTTGATAGTGACCTCGGTAAGCCATGCTTCTACCTACTTCCCAAAATTCATAAGTATGGTAACCCTGGCAGACCCATTGTCTCAGCATGCTCTTGCCCCACCGAACACATCTCGGAATTCCTTGATGGAGTTTTTCAACCCATCGTTGCCTCACTGCCTACTTACATTAAGGACACTAACCATGCTCTTCAAACCTTTGAATCCATCATAATCCCTCCTGAAAAGAAACATCATCTATTTCTTCTTGATGTATGTTCTCTATACACTTCCATCCCCCACACTGACGGTCTCTTAGCAGGGCTACCATATCTTGGGAAATTTCCCAAGATCTTGGGAATTCACTACCCCATTCAGGGCCAAAACTCACTTTAAAAAAAAAACAACCCAAGATCCTTTAAAAAAACAAAAACAACCCCTTGTATATTGTTATGATCTTGGGAAATCTTGGGAAATGTTTTGACCAAATCTTGGGAATTAAAAATAATTGAATGGCAGCCCTGATTTCAACATGACTTGTGATGCAAAATAGATGTTACAGATTTTGCAAATCCGTTCAAGCAGCGATGTTATTATTGTTACACACTTTACTTTCCCTAATTCTTAAAATATCGTATTCCTACTCTATCAATATCATTTATCTTGACCGCACATGACTCTTGAACCTTGTCCTTGTTCCATACCTACAACATGACCGCAAACATACTACCCTAGTCATTTGCGACAAACAGAATCTACAGTCAAAGAGAAGACATATTTTTTAACCTTCTCTTGCATTAACTAAATGTGCTAACATTCTGACCAGCCATCAGCAGTGCTCAGACAGACACACATTAAATAAATCTTATATTGTAGAAAGCCTTAATTTTATATAACTATTTACACTAATTAAATTTGTTAAAATAATGTAATAACCAGTCAATTTTTTAGATTAACATTTTAATAGAGAAAACACATGATTGGTGACGTAAACTAATCTACCCCCCCCCCCTCGTCCACAAGTGTCAAACATTTCCACACACCCCCCCCCCCCTTCTCCATTTTGTTGACATAGTAAATGTACGACCCATGAAATCAGCTCTCGGTGCTCCGAATCATGGGTTGAGTTGAACGATGAACTGACCATGAACTGTGGAAGCCATGAG